CATCAGCATCAATACACTCTCCTTTTGAAAGAGGTGCACCAGGATACAAGGGCTTGTCACCAGTATCTGCTGTGTCTTCACTGCCCTAGAGAGAGAGAGAAGCTGTAAAAATGCAAGCAGCAGAATGAATCAGGACTATCAGTCTAGCACACTGTCTTTAATTTTAGCAAATGTAATTTTCTGGAAACTCTTGCCATGGATTATAACAAAATTGATAATCCTTTCAACATATCCTACAAAGCTGCAATCCCAAAAGAAAGAGTATGTTAGATATACAAAGTTTCATATCTAAGTATCAAATCGTTGTTTCCTTTTGAGTTTAAAAGCTGATTTTTGCTCCTGAGTGAAAGTTGAAGAAACCTGATGGTTAATTGTGGTTTAAACTCTTCTTTATGGTCAAACAGTCGATGACTTCACACTTCTGAGGTAGAACCATCCATCCATCCTCCATCAACCGCTTATCCTGCGTACAGGGTCACGAGGGGCCGGAGCCAATCCCAGCTGACAACCTGGACAGGTCGCCAGTCCATCGCAGGGCCACACAACAACCAAGGCTCAAATCTCAGTCCTTTTTCCTCAACAAAATAAACATCTTCACACCTTGTCATTGAACCATTTACTACATACCTCAGACAATTCAGATGCGTTTTCTCCACTAGTGTTTCTCTTCACTGTCCACATCGTTGTCAGCTTCACTCCTTGCAGCATCAAGCATGTTTGCTTTGGAATCTGATAGGTCATCCTCGTTCTGCAGGTTAACAACAGAAAAGGATGACTTGAAAGACTTAATTAAAATGGTAGGCATTTATTTAATCAAAGATAAAAACTGTGCAATGTACATTTGTGTATTTACCTCTTCAATGTCAGTACCCAACAGGCTACTTGTGGAGGAGTTTTCATTGTCCACTTCATCATCTTCGTTTTCACTGTTAGAAGCAGTAATCATGTCATCTTCTGTGTTTATTCGGTCATCCTCACTGTCGTTCTGAAAGTTAACAAGGGAAAGAGAAAAACATAATTTGATGAATAAAATAATCTCATAGAATTTGTGCAGGTCCTCTGCTGCCACTGGCTTGGTGCATATTGGGAGAATGGAGTTAGGGTGGCCCTAGACAAAAAGTAATAATGTCCCATAGTCCTCTGAAAAGCATGAATGTGCTCACCAATTTGCAGTTGGCCCAGCAATGTTGCCTTGGAGCAATAGGTTGGAAAGAGGACATCATAACAATGCCAGTGGGGCTAAAACTGTGTAATTATGTATTTACCTCTTGAATATCAGTAACCAACAGCCTAGTTGTGGAAAAGTCTTCATCGTCTACTTCATCCTCTTCGTTTTCACTGTTGGATGCATTCCTCATGTCATCTTCTGTGTTTACTTCGTCATCTTTATTGTTGTTCTAAAGGTTAACAAAGGAAAAAACATGAAGGGTAAAATGCCAAGGAACATTTCAAGAAATGACAGGCTCTCTTGTACCACAATTAATAGCTATTAAAGCTGGGTGATATTTGGATTAAATTACTAATCACGAATGGGTGACAGACACTGTTTAGGTGCAGGAAACTGTGAAATGAGCAGAGTAATGGTAAACTTCTATTTCACAACTTGAGGACAAAAGTGGAATGCTTTTAAATAGGTCTATATTTATTTAATGAGTTAGCAAGGTCTGAAAAAATCCAATTTTGATCGACAGGAAATGTAATTATAACTTAGATAATAAATTAATAGTTTTAGTCAAACATTAGCTGGTTATAGCTTCAAATACTTTCATATCATTATAATATAAAAAAATGTAAAAGTCTTTTCTGGCTGCTGTCAACATCAAACTGGACCGAGAGGTAACGTTAGCCATATAAAAAGGAGGTAGCCAACTACAGAAGGAGGCTAATAATCTCCCGCTTGCTGAATCCCAACATGCTTTTCGATGCGCACCTCTCGCGATAGCAGGCCGTGCGATCCGTTTGTGTCAAAGAGCTGTGGTTCGCGCGCATCTCAGCCGACAGTTCAGCACCTTTGCTGTCAGCTAACGGTCGCGGTTGACAAAAAACAAACATAATTGTCAGTGATAAAATTAATTATCCTCCACAATTCCATTTAAATGTAAAGTGGAACAAAGGCAGAAAAAAGAAAGATGGTCCGGCCTTTTTTCCTGCTAAGGTGTTAATGCTCGGGGGGAAGTTTGCTAGCAATTGTCTTAATCTTGTCACCTAGCTTAATGTTAATGGTTAACTTCAAGGATTAGCATAACTGGTTTGTTTTGTGTTTTTGGAAGAAAATAATTAAAAATTTTGGATAATGTTAATTTAATATGAAGTTGCCAACAAGCTGTCTGTTAGGGAGAGCTTAAAGATCCTACATAGCCCAAAGACCCAGTCGGGATTTTAATTTGCTCAGTGTAACTTGCACAAACTGTTTTCACAGACAACTACAGTGACCTCTGCAAGAAGACGGAGGAATTCATAAAGGGTGAAGACATCTGGAACCAAACACTCAAGAGGAAGCCAAACTGTAGGGGGATGAAGGGTGTGGAAGAGGACGACCAAAGGCCAACAAAACAGGCAAGTTAATTCCCTTACTCATACTTACTCACCATTGATGTGCAGAAAACTTAAACTGAAAAGCAAAAGCATATTTAAATGTAATCAGGGTTTAGCATCTTAGTTTGGCATTTTTATGTCACTAGTAATGCCATTTATTTTTTTCCACTTTTATGCTTTATGATAGTTAAGAAAGTTTGTAAATGTGGTAATATTTGATTTAATACTAGAAGTATTTCACCATTTCTGATAAATAAACATTTGTGATTGTTGTTTAGCTGATATTTATAGATGAGGTGCATCATCACAACCTTTAAACCCTCAGAATATGAACAATAATTAGCAAATATTAGTCTAAAATCTTGATTTTCTGTTTTTAGAATCACTGTTATTGCACATACATGCTATTGAAAAACTTTAAATTGTCATTTTGACAACAAAAAAGCAAAAGGGCAAACTGTGCCTCAAAAGAGACCAATTGACTGAAGAAGGAGCTGACGGCCAAGCGAGCATCTTTAGAGGTAAATTATTTACGTGATTCACTGAATACTAGCTTGTATGGGACTTTGCTGCTACAGAGGCTGCAGACTATTTAATCTTGTGTCTGACACTGTGTGTTGGTGTAGTCAGCTTCTGGAAAGGAGTCATCAGATGAGGACCTACTGCCCAGGAACTGGAGTAATGAATAGCTGCAAATAAAGGAACTTTATTTTTACTTGCAGCTGTGAGGAGAGAAGAGGCTGAAAGAAGGTAATGTTGAAGAGACACTGGATGCCGTGACAGGTAATTTTAAAGAAACAAATAATTTGCCCTTGTGTAGACAAGATCACAAAATGCAGAGAAAATAAAGCAACATCATATTTGTAAAGGAACAATAAACCCACAATGAAAATAATTAAATATGTTTCTTTCTATTTCCTCCTGGTTACTTGGCTCCCATCACCCTAATGTAATGGAGTTAAATGGGTACGTGTTTGTTGATTTCAAAGCAACCGAAGAATACCGGCGAGGTAGAGACAGTTGGCCAGTGTTGGCTGCTCGCCTTTATTCCATGGCATCCGTTGTGTTTGGGTGACAGATGACAGTGAATGTAGCATAAATATCCAGCCTTAGCAGATCAAACTGAAACTATCTAAACTGATAAAGTGCAGTACAAAATGTCAAAGCCTGAAAATGGCAGTTTTGCTTGGTCCGTCTGTCCATTACACACTTAACTTCAAGACATGGACATTAAAGATTGCCAGTCAATTTGAACCGACACCTTCAGGCTGCCTGAACCCTGACAACGTCCCCAGGATCCACCAAGTCAGCAGGGCTGCAGTGACGGGGGGTATACCAGTATTTTGGGTGAACTAGTCCTTTAAAAATATACAGCTGTTATATACCTTGGCTTTTGAAGGTTTCACTATGGAGATTTGATTTGCAGGTGGGTTTCATTATATAAGTTGGAAGGTTTCCTTGGTTCATTAAATATTAGTGAGAGCCTTCAAAAAAAAAAAAGTACTAAATTGTCCCTGCATTTTTTAATTAAATATAATCAGATGGCATAAAAAGTCTTAACATGTCTTATATTAAGCTTACTGTCAAGTTGTGATTTATTTCTTGTGCAATTCCCCACTTGAAAAAGACAATCCCTCCACATGAAGATCTTAACTGGATTTCACTCAATAAACAGCCATGGGATCAGTTGTTGTCTTTTATTAAAAAATCTTTGGTAGTAAACAGGTGAAAAACCTCGAGAGAGACGACAAATTCAAGTTATTATCTGAGTTAACAGCCAAAAAAAAATTATTCACATTTAACTCAGATAAACACATTTCTGCCATTATACAAGGTTTCCAATTTTAAAATAATCCAAATAAATACCCATAATTTTAAATCAAATGCTCAGAGTTAGTATATTTAGCCAAATGCAATACAAAATAATTTAGTAGTAAAAAATTCTATTTACTTTCTAATCATTAGTTTTAAGCCATATATTTCTAGTAAAGAATTATTATAAAAAGGTATCAACTAGTATGTAGCCACACAACTAGATACATTTTACCAAAACAAATCAGTTGGTATTTTAATTTTCAAAATGTATATTTTCTTATCTTTCCTTTTCCCCACTTGTTTGATAAAACCAAACAACATTTGAATTTACAAATACCACTGCAAAAAGTCCCATCAAAGTCAGCAAGAGTTAAGGGTCTGTGTTTTTCCAGAGCATCATTAGCACTGCACTGCTTAAGTCAATCTAGTCAAAACATGGCCAATATGGCGCTTACCGGCTGTCCTTCACAGTTTTGTGGAGGGCTTGGTCTTGGTCATCACTTTAATGACAAAGATCAAGATCCTTGGTTTTGTGGTGCTATAAATGCTCCTTCCACTGCGGTCTAAAGACAACAACAGAGCCAGGTACTGGCACGCTCAGATTGCCTGGAAGATTTGTTGCACCTGGTTCACCACTGATTGAAGGGGAGGAGGAGCTCCCAGGCAGTTTGTCAGCACACTTACTGAAACCTGCAGACACTCTAAGCTTTTGCACCCTGGTCTTGTAATCATTTATGTCTTCATTCTTTTAACAGAGCTTCCCGTAGTAGTAACAAAGTCGAAAGAAGTAATTGAAAAAGTCACATACCAGACCTCAACTCCTGCATCCACCTGGTCAACAGCCAGCAGCTTCTGCATGCGTTCCTCCTGAAGTGGTGTCTGATGATACGGTAACTAAATCTCATGCATAGATATGTCGCTGTCCATGTGGGAATATGTTGATTTTAAAATTTGCCGGTAAATCTGTAACGACTTGGCAGCGACTACACATTACCTGGAAAATCTGCAAATTCAACTGTGTGGTAAATGTTAACTGGTTATTATGTATATTGCCTAACCAGACAGGAAACCAGGGAGGTATTCCCACATTTCCCAATGGAAAGGTTAATGTCAATGGAGACACTACACAGCAGTGTGGCAAGGTTCTCCCTTGCGAGGCACACTAGCATTTTGCACTCTAATTCACGTTTTTATTGGGAAATGTGGGAACACCTTCCAGATTTCCTGTCTAGTCAGGGAATAATAACTTGGTTAATATGCACACTGCAGAGTTGATGAATACATAGATTTCCCGGGGAATGTGTATGATTGTATTTTCATAACTTTGTTGTGTAAAAACAGTGTTAGACCAGTTACAAACTAAGTGATCACTCTGTTATTTTGCAGGTGTGTCTTGTGCCAGGCTGTGATGTCAAAGTCCCTAGATGAAAGCTTAATTGTCTGCGGACTGCAAATCCTTCGGTCTACATAGGGGACACTGTCCCATTCAAGTTTGACGGGGAGACAATCTGGGGCACACAAAGACATGGAATCCAAGCTGCAACTCCATAACATAAAACCTGAAGCTATAGTTGGTGAGTGCATTTAATTAAAGGAAAACTTCATTAAAAAATAAATTCCTCATACAATTCTTTTAAAATGACTGTAGCGTTCCATGCTGGAGGTGACGGTGGTTCAATTACTGTTACCTCCAACATGGAAAAAATGATACCTTCCAAACATTATGTGAAAAGCCTCTAAAAGTCAAATCTGGGACCATCAGTTGTAAAATTCTCACAACGCTAACAAAAAGGCCACTTTGATGATAACAACACTTACCACCCTAATCTATGTAAAGGTAGGCGTTTAAAGGACATTTTCAGTTACGTGTAAATATAGTATTTTGCAGATTGCATTAATATTCAGAAACTTATCTGTTGAATTGCACGTCCCTACCTGCTCCTTTGACTGTTATTATTGTGTTAATTCTGAATGCTAAATTTGGTGTGATAGAAAAATCTGTTTTAAAGTAATGTTTTGATTTGTATTTGTGAAATTTCCTAACATGAGCATCCACGATGTGAGACGCATTATAAGAAAAAAACTGCAACAACAAAAGCTACACCAAGCAAGCTACTGCAAACACGACCGTATGAAAAGAACATTTAGTTTTGTGGTTCCTCTGCCATTTAACAGGGCAGAAACAGGAGTGCAACCTGTTTGTGGGGAGCGAGTGACCCTTAATGTGTGTTTATACTGTGTGTTGTACTTTGTTTGAACTGGACATACAAAACAACATATGTTTAAAACTTTGATTTGTACAGAAAAAAACTATTTTCACTCCTGAGTTTTACCTTGTGTTCATGTATAGTTCGCTGGTAGAGTACATGCGAGTTAACATCAAGTCTGCTTAAAGTGCAGTCAAAGGTTTATTTCAAGTATAAATCCTAATACCTAATTAGAAACTTAGTAGTATACTTTAAATGCAGAAACTACAGAAGTACAACCTGTTTGTGGCTAGCTAGTGACCCTTAATATGTGTTCGTACTGTGTTGTCCTTTGTTTGAACTGGACATACAAAACAACATATGTTTGAAAACGTTGATTTATAAAGTAAAAAACTAGTATGACTCCTGAGTTTGTCTTGTGAGTATTTATATGTGTAGTCCACTGGTAGAGTACATGTGAGTTAACATCAAGTCTACATAAAGTAGAGTAAAAGGTATATTTCAAGTATAAATACTAATATGGAAGCAGTAACCTAGTAGTACATGTATAAATAGTAAACTATAAGTATGATCTTAAGTTCACTTAAAGAAAACTTACAAGTATACTTGCAGTATAAAAACGATTAAACTGGTAGTTTACTGAGTTGTATACTTAAAAGTGTACTTTCATAAACTACAAATCCAGGCTAGAAGTATATAACTAGTAAACTAGCAGTATATCTATAAGTTCACTTGTAGTTTAATTGCAGTACAAAATAAAACTTGGATGTAAACCAGTTGTGAACTCAAAGTTTACCACTCTTACACTAAGCTACTAGTACTATGATCTAAGTACACTTAGTATGTAAAGTATACTTGGGAAATATACTTGACTGTGACTTAAGTTTACTTGAAGGTTTGTTTATTAGTCAGGTTTACTGAGGAGTTCATTGGTGTTTTCTAGTCTTGTTTCACTGTCTCTATGTTCTATAGGGTTTTTGTCAGCCAGTTACTTTTGATGTCTGTGTTATGTTTCATTTTTTATGACATTATTCCTTGAGTGTTTCAGTTAGCTTTACTTCCTGTTTTAGTGTGTACTTAGTCTAGTGTCTCTTGTCATGTTTTATTTCCTGTTCCTTCCTGATTGTCTTAGTGGTTTCCCCTGTGTGTAATTAGTTTCTCACTCATTATTCATTATTATTAAACCAAAGTGTACTTTTATCATTCTGAGGTTTTGAACCAGCTGCTTTCTTTCTTCCTGATTCTTCTTGCCCACAGTAGTCAAAACAGCCTGAGTTATGTTTGCCTATTTTTAATGATGTGCTGTTAAGTCCAGCACAATGTTCAGATCTAAGTCTTGATATGACTGTTTGGTCTCTCCTGTTAATTTCTTTTCTTTTCACGCAGTGAAAGATGAAGAAATGAACAATCTGAGACGTTTGATCTGCATGGAGAGGACGTCACTGTTAAACAAAATAAACACAAAATAAAAATGAAACTCACCCCTGTGTTGCACAGAGAGATGTGGAGATGGACTTTCAGTGTTCTTGAAGTCGGGTCCAGGTGGATCATTATTGTTCAGGTCATCCACAGAGGCCCTCATACAGAGGTGTCAAACTCATTTTCACCACGGGCCACATAAGCACTACGGTTGGAACTGTAAGACTGTATAAACATACTTTACTGCATAAACTATTCTGTAACATATTGTAGAAGTCTCTTTATTTGATTATTTAGCCTATTCAAGTTAAGGACATTTAACCCATCAGATAAAAAATATAAGCAAGCACATTTACTGTATCTGTGTTATTATAACATACATCAATTAATTTATCAGGTTTAGAAACCCATAATTCTCCATCAATCTCTCTTACCTCAAAAAACTATTACATTAACTTTTCCACAGACGAGAGGGGCAGAACCATTGTAAAACAAATAACTGTGAGCTGCTAATAACACGTGACAGATGTGGCATTTGATAAAACAGAGGGCTGCACATCCAACTGATCACAGATAGTTTTATTCCCTGGGAAAATGCCGACGTATATTGTGCCTATTCCTTCCTCACTGACACTGGCTCAGAACCAGTGCTTGAAGTGCACAAATTAGTTGCCAGAGTAAAGTGATCGAGACATTCTGATTCTGACCTGTCCCCAGCGTCCCCAGCGTAAATGACACCTATCTGTCAAGATTTCCCATCCAGGCTGCGATTGGTCGGTTCACGACAAGTGACACTGACGAGCTACATTCAGCACGCGGCTGCTTGAAAGGCACCGCGCTTCTTCTCCCTCGTCTCTCTGCGCTGACATAGTTTAGCAGGCAGATGGGAACAGCTGAGCTTCACGTAGCGCCCAGAGAACCTGATATGGAGAGTAGGCAGCTTGGGAAAAGTCCCGGTAGGCTACGCAAGAAAATGTCCAGGTACGCCGGCCCACTTCAAGCACTGCTCAAAACACAAAAGACGTAGGCCTAGCTGCCGGTTCATCTCCTTGAAACACAAACGTGCTCCTTTTCCCATCGTTCATCAAATTGCCTTCCTTCTGAATACATTTTTATTGGACATTTTGGGATCGTTTGTATACATTTCTCAAACCGCAGGTGTGGGAAGACCGCAGTCTAGTGGTGGGACGCCGTCAAGGTCACAAAATCACCATGCATTGTGGGAGATATAGTTTATTGTTCATGAACGCTTTAAAGCAGCATAAACTTTTATTTTCAGCGGATTTCACCAGCGTGTTCACGGCGAGTGTGAAAAGGATCACTGTAGTTGTGCATCCAGTAATTATTCCCTTCTGCAGCTTCTGCCACTCTGAGCTGCTGTAGTAGACCAGAGGCCCCTGAACTGGTCTGGATCTCTCAGCTCTCAGGCTGACGATGATGGAGGTCTGAAGCCATCGACCAGCTTCACGCTTGGTCGTTGCTTCCAAGTTGGCTTCAGCATCTTCACCAAACTGGAGCCGCCACTCCGCCTCCCTGTAAGCCCACCTGACAGACGATGTTCTGTCACTCTGCTTGGGTCCGAGGCTTGTGTCACCTGGAGGTTCTGGGCCCTCACTCAGGGCCTGGTTCCTCCTGCGTCTCACCAGGGGTAGTCCCTGAGCGCCGCGACCCTCGTGCCTGCACGCATTTCATTTTGGCCGTCTCTCCTGCTGTTGGTCGTCAGTCAGTCTGTTCCTGGTAGGACGACACCACGTGACCGTCTGCTCACAACCACTTACTAACCAGAACCTCATCAGAACACATCCACACTCACCTGTGCAGGTGTGTGTTTGCTGGGAGCTTCAGTACAGAGATGAGATCACTGCAAGAAATGTCTCACTGTCATCTGCTGAGAGAAAATAAATGCACCAAACTCTGCACACATATTTTCGGGGCGAAAAATAACCTATTGTACGGATCTCGTACATGGTTTGATTAGTCCGAGCGACGTCAAATTTTTGCAAAATGAACAAACGGTGAGTTTTCGTCAACGCCTGTGGCGTTCAATATCGAGGACTCGCTGTGAAACAGGAAGTTATAGCAACTTCACCTCTGCCAAACTTTACATATTTGGTAAGAGTCCTTCACTTAATTGTCTTAAGAGCTTCTCAGCTGTCACACTCTCACTGCACGCACACACAGACAGGGACAGGTCAAAGGTCAAACAACAGGTTGTTTTTATTCCACAGAAAGCTGCAGCTGATTGGTCAGCTGGACAGGAAAAACATAAAAACAGTCAAAACAACTGCCCAACAGGCCAAAGTGAGAGGAGTGTGGTTACCAAGGCAGCTTTAAAGTGACAGAGAGTTTAACGTCTCAGAGACTGTTAGCACTGTTAGCGTTCCTCATTCAAACCAATGGGCTGTGTTAGCTTCAAGCTAACCTCTGATGTCAGAACATTAAAGTGAAACATTATTTATTATTTTAGTTTCTTTAATCCATTAGAACAGCACACAGCTGCTGATCACTCTGATTATCAGGGGAAAGCACTCTGCTGAGCGAGCTGGATGTTTGCATAGATACCGAGTGTGACAATAGTGCAGGACACAGAGATCAATACTATGAAGGTAAACACAAGGAAACACTGAACAGCTCCAGTGGGAGTTGTAGTTTTTGTTACTAGTCTCATCTTTAAATCACGGCAGCAGGTTTCTTTTAATTTGTTCAGGTTTATAATCAGAGTTGCTGCAGCTGCTGTCGAGGTCAGAGGTCACGTCGTGGGAATATTCTGGCTTTTAGGCTCATTGTGATATTTTAGAGTAAAAACATACACGTAAAGAGGCACTGAAACATTTAGATTAGAACAGTTAAAGATTACATTGGGATTGTTTTCATTAACCAGAAATGTAATGCAGAGTCTGGTTGGTAGATCTGGTAGTTGGTGGGAGGGGCCTTTAGATCTGGACCGGTGACCTCAGAGTTCCCCGCTGCAGATCACAGCATCTGGTTGTAAACAGACTTTGGAAGATCGAACTCAGACTGTGAAAGTCTCGTATTAACTTCAGTTAAACATCTTTAGGGGAGTTGTGGGTCTCAGGCCCAAGTCTGGCCCTCAGCCCAGGGGTTGGGAACCTCTCTGCTGCTGAAGGTGAGGAGATCTAAAATATCTTTAAATCCTGCTGCGCTCACATTATTAAGGAAACGTAGAACAAAAACTCAAGACCTCACTGGAACTACACAGGAACATCAATACGTCTCAGATCAGCTGCCGCTCTGACCTCTGAGGCCACACCCACTCGGCGAGGTACCAACAGGGGATGTGAGCAGCAGCTCTCTGAAGGTGTCAGTCTATTTAAATGAAGTGCTTCATGTTCTGCAGTACAGGCCGAACACGCTGGTTAGATACATACAGAGTGATATAACTCACAGGTACAGCAGCGAGGACAGGTAAGGCAGCGTGCTGTTTGACAGCCAGGGGGCGCTACAGGAAACTACAGGAGCCCCGACTGTTTAACATGTCGGAGGTGAAGAAGAAGAAACGTTTGGTTTGCTGTCAGTCTGATAATATACACACCAGAGATTGCCTGTGTGTGTGTGTGTGTGTGTGTGCGTGTATCTGTGCGCGTGTACGTGCGTGCGTGCATGTGTGTGCGTACATGTGTGCGTGCGTGCGTGTGTGTGTGCGTGTGTGTGTGCGTGTGCATGTGTGCGTGTATGTATGTGTGCGTGTATGTGTGTGCGTGTATGTGTGTGTGTGTATGTGTGCGTGCATGTATGTGTGTGTGTATGTGTGCGTGTATGTGTGTGTGCGTGCATGTATGTGCGTGTGTATGTGTGCGTGCATGTATGTGCGTGTGTATGTGTGCGTGCATGTATGTGCGTGTGTATGTGTGCGTGCATGTATGTGCGTGTGTATGTGTGCGTGCATGTATGTGCGTGTGTATGTGTGCGTGCATGTATGTGCGTGTATGTGTGTGTGCGTGCATGTATGTGCGTGTATGTGTGTGTGCGTGCATGTATGTGCGTGTATGTGTGTGTGCGTGCATGTATGTGTGTGTGCGTGCATGTATGTGCGTGTATGTGTGTGTGCGTGCATGTATGTGCGTGTGCATGTATGTGCATGTATGTGCATGTATGTGCGTGTGTATGTGTGCGTGCATGTATGTGTGTGTGCATGTGTGCGTGCATGTATGTGTGCGTGCATGTGTGTGTGCGTGTATGTATGTGCGTGTGCATGTATGTGCATGTATGTGCATGTATGTGCGTGTGTATGTGTGCGTGTATGTATGTGCGTGTGCATGTATGTGCATGTGTGTGCGTGTATGTGTGTGCGTGTATGTGTGTGTGCGTGTATCTGTGTGTGTGTGCGTGTGCGTGTGTGCGTGCATGTGTGTGTGCGTGTGTGCGTGCATGTATGTGTGCGTGCGTGCGTGTATGTGTGCGTGCGTGCGTGTATGTGCGTGCGTGTGTGTATGTGTGCATGTATGTATGTGTGCATGTATGTGTGCGTGCGTGCGTGTATGTGTGCGTGCGTGCGTGTATGTGTGCGTGCGTGCGTGTGTGCATGCGTGTATGTGTGTGTGCGTGCGTGTATCTGTGTGTGCGTGTATGTGCGTGTGTGTGTGTGCGTGCGTGCGTGCGTGTATGTGTGTGTGCGTGTGTGTGTGTGCGTGCGTGTGTGTGTGCGTGCGTGCGTGCGTGCGTGCGTGCGTGCGTGTGTGCATGCGTGTATCTGTGTGTGCGTGTATGTGCGTGCGTGCGTGCTCTTTGGCTGCATTTAAACATGTTGTTGTACTAAACACTGTTTCAGAGGCTCGTGCTGAGCTCTGATTCCTGCTTCCCCCAGACTCAAACTGTCCCACAGGTTTTTGCTGGGTTCTGATCAGTTCTGATCTTCTGGGGACAATAACCGGAGTCTCGTGAGAATACTGTTGCTAGACAACCGCCAATAAAAATAAATGTTCCTTTGTTGTCTTTGAAAATCAGGGTGAATTATATTTGTGACTTTTAGCTTCAGGTTTGAGAGTGAAGTTAAAAATATGAACTTAAAACTGGGGACCTCGGAGACACCAGGTTGGGTGGACTGTTGTCATGGACACTGAACACGCCACCTTTATTGTTGAGGTAATTAAGCTGAGAGTGGTTTCGACCAATCAAGTGCCGGGCTGGGAGCTCAGCTGGAAACAAACGGTCCTCAGTGAGAGTGGAGGAAGAGGAATCAAAGCTTCACATGTAACCAGTTACTCTGTTAGAGGGACAGTCTGGGTCTTCTGGGGCGGGGGTCACCTGACAGACTGAACACAGCCCCACGTCAAAACACACAAACTGTCCCTTTAACTTCCTAGTAAGGTGTTGTCCCCTCCCACTCCAGCAGGTACTGGACCGTCCCCTGAGGAGTGATACGTCGAGCCAACACTTGGTACCTCTCCCCATTGGTCAGCCTGCCCGCCACTCCAAAATACGAAGAGATGGAGGAGTGGAGGTGGGAGGAGTCAGAGGGAATCTGGGAGGGGTCCGACAGGAAATGGGAGGGGTCTGTGGTAAGGTGGGTGTGGCTCGTAGCTTCTTGGTCATCAAGCATCCCAGTTGGCTCCTCTCCTCCAAGCTCCTCCCCTGTCTCACTGCGATTGGCCCACTGGCTGTAGCTGTTGCTAGGTAGCTTCCTCTTCCTGCTGCCCACCCTCCTTCTGAGGACACAGAGCACAGAGGTCAGAGACAGACTTCCTGTAGGGAACGAGGTGAGCACAGACAAGTCAGCATCCTAAAAAGGAAGCTTTGTAAATATGTAGTCTCTTCCCTTGATGCCTAACCAGAACGCTTCCTCCTCACTTCCTACCCAACTATAAAGCTACCTTCTTACTTACTTTCTACTAGGGATGAAAAGATCACTGGTTTAATGATAAATGGTAATGATATGGTAACTCCAGCATGTCCAGCATCAACCAAAGTTAGCGACAGTCTCCCAGAAGCAGAATGAAGCTTCCCTCTTACTTGCTACCAAAGAATGAAGCTTCCCTCTTACTTGCTACCAAAGAATGAAGCTTCCCCCTTACTTGCTACCAAAGAATGAAGCTTCCCCCTTACTTGCTACCAAAGAATGAAGCTTCCCCCTTACTTGCTACCAAAGAATGAAGCTTCCCTCTTACTTGCTACCAAAGAATGAAGCTTCCCTCTTACTTGCTACCAAAGAATGAAGCTTCCCCCTTACTTGCTACCAAAGAATGAAGCTTCCCCCTTACTTGCTACCAAAGAATGAAGCTTCCCCCTTACTTGCTACCAAAGAATGAAGCTTCCCCCTTACTTGCTACCAAAGAATGAAGCTTCCCTCTTACTTGCTACCAAAGAATGAAGCTTCCCTCTTACTTGCTACCAAAGAATGAAGCTTCCCCCTTACTTGCTACCAAAGAATGAAGCTTCCCTCTTACTTGTAACCAAAGAATGAAGCTTCCCCCTTACTTGTAACCAAAGAATGAAGCTTCCCTCTTACTTGCTACCAAAGAATGAAGCTTCCCCCTTACTTGCTACCAAAGAATGAAGCTTCCCTCTTACTTGCTACCAAAGAATGAAGCTTCCCTCTTACTTGCTACCAAAGAATGAAGCTTCCCCCTTACTTGCTACCAAAGAATGAAGCTTCCCTCTTACTTGTAACCAAAGAATGAAGCTTCCCTCTTACTTGTAACCAAAGAATGAAGCTTCCCTCTTACTTGCTACCAAAGAATGAAGCTTCCCCCTTACTTGCTACCAAAGAATGAAGCTTCCCTCTTACTTGCTACCAAAGAATGAAGCTTCCCTCTTACTTGCTACCAAAGAATGAAGCTTCCCTCTTACTTGTAACCAAAGAATGAAGCTTCCCCCTTACTTGCTACCAAAGAATGAAGCTTCCCTCTTACTTGCTACCAAAGAATGAAGCTTCCCTCTTACTTGCTACTAGGGCTGAAACGATTTATCGATTGAATCGATAAAATCAATTAATAAAATGCTTCGACACAAATTCTTTGCATCGATGCTTCGTTTAATCCATGTAACTATACAGCACAGTGTTTCGCACGGACATTTATTACAGTCGCACATCACGCTTACACTGTGAACACGTCAGGATAATAATGCAGCCGAAGAAAGAGAAAATGGTGAGGGACAAAGAAGAAAGTGTCCTAAGTATGTTATTATTTGATGCTAAAGAAAACAACAACTCTGTAATGTTACTGTCCGTCCACCATAAAACGAAACTTATTTCGCCTTGGCAACAGCACGACGGCAGCTGAACAAAAAGGTGTTCTGCCAGCGGACCAAAGACAAGGTAACAGTAACAGCAACTTTAGCAATTAACTGAAATCTTGATTGATTGTTGAGCTGAAGGCTAGCCAAAGTAAGCCGCAGACCTCAGCTGAAGATGTTAACACGTTTGTTCTCCTTTTTGGGCCGTGAGTTGTAACCTCACAGTCAGGAGTTAACTGCGTGTCGGGAGCTGTACCTTTCAACTCCCCTCCAGCTCTCTGTAGCTCAGACAATCCCTGCTACCTGTGTGCACTAATCCATCCTTCACTAATAAGCCTCCGTCTAACTTGATACCCAACTAAGAAGCCTCCGTCTTACTTGATACCCAACTAAGAAGCCTCCTTCTAACTTGATACCCAACTAAGAAGCCTCCTTCTAACTTGATACCCAACTAAGAAGCCTCCTTCTAACTTGATACCCAACTAACAAGCTTCCTTCTAACTTGATACCCAACTAAGAAGCCTCCGTCTTACTTGATACCCAACTAACAAGCTTCCTTCTAACTTGATACCCAACTAAGAAGCCTCCGTCTTACTTGATACCCAACTAAGAAGCCTCCTTCTAACTTGATACCCAACTAACAAGCTTCCTTCTAACTTGATACCCAACTAAGAAGCCTCCTTCTAACTTGATACCCAACTAAGAAGCCTCCTTCTAACTTGATACCCAACTAAGAAGCCTCCGTCTAACTTGATACCCAACTAACAAGCTTCCTTCTAACTCGATACCCAACTAAGAAGCCTCCGTCTTACTTGATACCCAACTAACAAGCTTCCTTCTAACTTGATACCCAACTAAGAAGCCTCCGTCTTACTTGATACCCAACTAAGAAGCCTCCGTCTTACTTGATACCCAACTAAGAAGCCTCCGTCTTACTTGATACCCAACTAACAAGCTTCCTTCTAACTTGATACCCAACTAAGAAGCCTCCTTCTAACTTGATACCCAACTAAGAAGCCTCCTTCTAACTTGATACCCAACTAAGAAGCCTCCGTCTAACTTGATACCCAACTAACAAGCTTCCTTCTAACTTGATACCCAACTAAGAAGCCTCCTTCTAACTTGATACCCAACTAAGAAGCCTCCGTCTTACTTGATACCCAACTAACAAGCTTCCTTCTAACTTGATACCCAACTAAGAAGCCTCCTTCTAACTTGATACCCAACTAAGAAGCTTCCTTCTAACTTGATACCCAACTAAGAAGCTTCCTTCTAACTTGATACCCAACTAAGAAGCTTCCTTCTAATTTAACCATGAAGCTTCTGTCTAACTTGATACCAAACTATGAAGCTTCCTCCATCTTCATACCAAACTAACAAGCTTCCCTCTTACTTCATACCAAACTTACTTACATTTATTCATTTAGCTGACAGTTTTATCCAAAGCGACTTACAATTGCTAGATACGTCAGAGGTCGCACGCCTCTGGAGTAACTAGGGGTTAAGTGTCTTGCTCAGGGACACATTGGTCTCTCACAGTGGATTCAAACCTTCCTTCTAACTTGATACCAAACCATGAAGCTTCCTTCTTACTTTCTCTCGAAAGGAAGCTTCTTTCCTCTTGTTTTACTTACTAACTAGGAAAAAATGATTTCAGATTCCACAAACACTACTGAGCTTGAAAAGTTACATGACTCATATCTGAGTCACTGAATGCATTAACTGATGACGACCCACTGCTTCATGGCTGATCCACACCTAGAGCCGTCAGGGCTCAGGAGGACAGGTTAGTTAACTGCTGCTTACCTGAAGTGATAGGAGGCGCTGGTCGTAGCAGAACCTGACGTGGAGGCATCAGTGGAGTCCTGATCGATACTGACTGTCCTACTGGAACTACTGAGAAGAATATCAGATGGTTGGAATACGTTGATTCTGTGAGGAAATGGATTGTTGGTAGATATTGGTGAACTGATCTCTGTCTCACCTTTTGAGGCTCTGCAGTTCGTCCAGGGTGAAGTCAAAGATGTTGGCCATGTGATGGTTAGACGTCCAACTGCAGGACAGCTCATTCTACACACAGACACACGCACCATTGAGACTTGAACACAGGAGATGGTTTAGGAAACAACAAACAGAAAAAAAGCAGAAAGTTCTTACATTAGGAATAGCATCTTCAAGTAGCCACTTGGATTTCCTCTTCTTCCTCTCAGCTGACGCATTGCTAACACACACACACACACACACACACACACAGGTGTTTGGTCTTTGTAATGCCGTGTAGACACAACCCTTTGCATGCGTGTAACGGGTAGTGATTGTGTGTTGGGCTCTGGGTGCTGCCAAAACACAACAGTCAGTACTGTGCCTGAACGCATCGTGTGCAGATACAGAGGCCTGAAGCTGCTGCTCTGCTAGCGCTACGTCTCCTGTGTTTGATCACAGAGACAAACTGCGGTGACGATGAGGACGGTAACACTCCTGGTTTCAGACTACAAACTGACCTGACAAACAGGCAACAGGTAAAAGAGGGGGAATACCTGTTCCTGACCACGCCTTTCTTACGGCCCCGTCCTCCATCGTTTGGAGCGCGCTCAGGAAAGAGCTTGGAGGGGGGGTTGGGAGGGACTCTGGTCCTCAGCCGAAAGATGCACTTCCTCTTCTTTATCTCCTTCCCACACAGAAACCTGAACACACACGCCGTCATTAATGCAGAACACACACACACACTGGCGGCGTTAGCTTCTGGTGTGTGTGCTTCTTACTTGCTCTTGTATTTATTCAGGGCATCCAGCAGATGCTGCCCTCTCTCTGACAGAGGGGTGTTGGACAGCTAAACAACAAACAAACAAACAAACAGATTAACATCAGGTCCAGGCACAGGTTTGTAAAGTCTGGTCCAGGTTTAGTTTAACAGAATGTGGTACCTTTCCGAGCTGTAAGTGTTCCCAGTTTGCAGAGACGAAGGCGAGGATCTCGTCCAGCTCAAAGTATTTCTTCTTGCTGCTGACCGACAGGTTGTAGAGAACCAGGTGAACCAGGTCGACCCACCTCAGAGACAGACGCCGGACGTACTCTGATCCTTTATTACAGGCCGAACACAGGAAGAGGTAAAACCTGAGGAGGAAGGAGGAGGCAAGTGGGAAGGATGAGAAACCCAGAGGGAAATGAAGAGGAGCAAAGAGGAGAGAGGAGGAGGTGCTGTTTCACCTGTCTCCAAACAGCATGCACTCCTGCAGACACTGAGTACAGGCCTCATGGAACCACTGCTGACACCTGAAACACTGCAGCATCTTCAGGTACCACCTGCACACACAACACCACAGAGGTCACACGATGGATCACTCAACACCTTGATGAGTTACAGAGTGTGCGTGTCTCTGATTGGACGGTCTTACTCTCCGGGGCCTCCACAGTAACAGTAACACTGCTGCTGATTGGTCCGATGTTGGGAGTCCCAGTCCAGAGTGTCCAGGTCGTACGGTAACACCTGCTTCATGGCTGACAGAGCTTTGGCTATAGGACCTTTCTTCAGAGCGCCCCCTTTCTGTGGGGGGGGGGGGACAGGTAGGAAGACAGTTTTACCTGAATCGGCACGTTAGTCGTCTGACACAACTGTTACTCAATCTGTGGTCTTCTTTTCATTTCCAGGTCACAAAGATCTCGGCTGTATGATCACTCTGGATCCTCTGATCCTGAAACACAGCGTGAGGCTGAGGTAGCACGTTCTACTAGACTACCGAAGTTTCTCTCAGACTACGATAAATAACACAGGCGGTGCTTTCTCTGCACATGATTCACAGCTGAATCCTGACCCCCCCGCCGTGCTGACTGGGGGCCGTGTCACCGCCGCTGGCGTCTCTTATTAGGTACAGCGTGAGAAAACAAAGCTGCCAAAGCAGTTGGGTTAGGGACAGATAGCATCCCAACCTAGCACCGTGACAAACACATTACATTTAATGCAGAGTGACTGAACGTTTAAAAGCATCAGCATCAGATCATAGATGCCTCAAGTCAGACTGAAACCAAACAGGCGGGTCACAGCGGTTATACTGAGCTGCTCAGTGGGCTGAACCGGGCTGAACCGGGCTGAACCGGGCCCTCCCATCACGTGTAGTGTGTCAGTGTGTTCATACCCGGACTGCCAGAGCGAAGACACAACGTCTGCAGAACCAGGGGCTGAGGCTGCTGCTGCCCTCTACTGGAGGAACATGGCACTGCTGGTGGAAACCTGACGGGGGGAGAGAGGTTCAATTAACCAGCTGTCTCACCGTTAACTACTTTAACCAACCAGCTTCCTGTCTCACCGCTAACTCCTTTAACTAACCGGCTTCCTGTCTCACCGTTAACTCCTTTAACTAACCGGCTTCCTGTCTCACCGTTAACTCCTTTAACTAACCGGCTTCCTGTCTCACCGTTAACTCCTTTAACTAACCGGCTTCCTGTCTCACCGTTAACTCCTTTAACTAACCGGCTTCCTGTCTCACCGTTAACTCCTTTAACCAACCGGCTTCCTGTCTCACCGTTAACTCCTTTAACCAACCGGCTTCCTGTCTCACCGTTAACTCCTTTAACCAACCGGCTTCCTGTCTCACCGTTAACTCCTTTAACCAACCGGCTTCCTGTCTCACCGTTAACTCCTTTAACCAACCGGCTTCCTGTCTCACCGTTAACTCCTTTAACCAACCGGCTTCCTGTCTCACCGTTAACTCCTTTAACCAACCGGCTTCCTGTCTCACCGTTAACTCCTTTAACTAACCGGCTTCCTGTCTCACCGTTAACTCCTTTAACTAACCGGCTTCCTGTCTCACCGTTAACTCCTTTAACTAACCGGCTTCCTGTCTCACCGTTAACTCCTTTAACCAACCGGCTTCCTGTCTCACCGTTAACTCCTTTAACTAACCGGCTTCCTGTCTCACCGTTAACTCCTTTAACCAACCGGCTTCCTGTCTCACCGTTAACTCCTTTAACCAACCGGCTTCCTGTCTCACCGTTAACTCCTTTAACCAACCGGCTTCCTGTCTCACCGTTAACTCCTTTAACTAACCGGCTTCCTGTCTCACCGTTAACTCCTTTAACTAACCGGCTTCCTGTCTCACCGTTAACTCCTTTAACCAACCGGCTTCCTGTCTCACCGTTAACTCCTTTAACCAACCGGCTTCCTGTCTCACCGTTAACTCCTTTAACTAACCGGCTTCCTGTCTCACCGTTAACTCCTTTAACTAACCGGCTTCCTGTCTCACCGTTAACTCCTTTAACTAACCGGCTTCCTGTCTCACCGTTAACTCCTTTAACTAACCGGCTTCCTGTCTCACCGTTAACTCCTTTAACTAACCGGCTTCCTGTCTCACCGTTAACTCCTTTAACTAACCGGCTTCCTGTCTCACCGTTAACTACTTTAACCAACCGGCTTCCTGTCTCACCGTTAACTCCTTTAACTAACCGGCTTCCTGTCTCACCGTTAACTCCTTTAACCAACCGGCTTCCTGTCTCACCGTTAACTCCTTTAACCAACCGGCTTCCTGTCTCACCGTTAACTCCTTTAACTAACCGGCTTCCTGTCTCACCGTTAACTACTTTAACCAACCGGCTTCCTGTCTCACCGTTAACTACTTTAACTAACCGACGGCCCGTCTCACTCACCGATGCCACACTTCCCACAGATGAGGATCTGGTTGTTTTGGTTTGATTGGCTGTCAGAATTCGGCTCCGCCTCCCGACACACAGAACAGCGAGGCTCCTCCCCCGGCACTCCAGCTGCAACATGATTGGACGACAGAGTGACAGACAGCTAGAGTGAAGACAGACGTCAGAAGCAGCATGATGGTGAGACACATTTTAGGTTTCTACCCGTCTCTCTCTCTCTCTGTCTTTTTATCTGTCTGCCTGTCTCTCTCTACCTATCTCTGTCTCTACCTCTACCTGTCTGTCTCTCTATGTGACTGTCTTTCTGTCTGTCTACCTGTCTCTCTCTGTCAACCTCTGTCTCTACCTGTCTGTCTCTCTCCCTGTCTCTTACTGTCTCTCTCTCTCTACCTGTCCTTCTCTCTCCCTGTCTCTTACTGTCTCTCTCTCTCTACCTGTCCGTCTCTCTCCCTGTCTCTTACTGTCTCTCTCTCTCTACCTGTCCGTGTCTCTCTCCCGGTCTCTTACTGTCTCTCTCTCTGTCTGTCTACCTGTCTCTGTCTGTCTGCCTGTCTCTCCCCCTACCTGTCTGTCTCTCTGTCTCTACCTGTCCGTTTCTGTCGCTACCTTTCTGTCTCTACCTGTCTCTCTCCCTGTCCTACGGTCTCTCTCTCTACCTGTCTCTTACGGTCTCTCTCTCTACCTGTCCGTCTCTGTCTCTACCTGTCTGTTACTGTCTCTCTCCCTCTACCTGTCTCTCTCCCGGTCTCTTACTGTCTCTCTCTCTATCTAACTGTCTCTGTCTCTCTGTCAACCTCTGTCTCTACCTGTTTGTCTCTCTCTCTCTCTACCTGTCTGCCTGTCTCTCCCCCTACCTGTCTGTCTCTCTACCTGTCTGTCTCTCTGTCTCTACCTGTCCGTCTGTCTCTACCTGTCTGTTACTGTCTCTCTCTCTCTACCTGTCCGCCTGTCTGTCTCTCTCTACCTGTCCGCCTGTCTGTCTGTCGCTACCTGTCCGTCTGTCTGTCTCTACCTGTCCGTCTGTCTGTCAGTCTGTCTATCTATCTCTACCTGTCTCTGTCTCTACCTGTCCGTCTCTCTCACCGTGTTGGATGTCCTTCCAGAGGACCCAGAACTTGGAGTTGTCCTCAAACGTCACAAAGCAGCTCTGCCTGGGGGGGCTCACCTGTCCATCAATCACAACTCAGAGTTTAACACCAACCAATCAGAAGAGCCCGTCTGTGTGTGCGTGCGTCTGTGTGTGCGTGCGTTACCCTCTGTATCTTGCCCAGGTAGTAGAGTCCATCTGACCAATGACAGAGGACGAACTGTCCAACACTCAGACTGGACTCCTCCCCCTCCCCTTCATCCAGACCACGCCCCATCTGACAGGCCCCGCCCCTCTGAGACACCTGAGGCTCCAGACCGCAGAAGGCTTCAATCAGGTCCTCAAACATCCTGCAAGGAGACACGGAGCCAATAAAAGCACAGCACCAGAGTGACAAAGTGATGATGCTGTTACAGCACAGCCAATCACACGCTGCCAGCAGCATGTGACGCGATGACAGCATGAAGAACAGCAGAGTTAATACACGTACGTAAACAGAAAAACCTGCAGATCAGAGAAAAACTAGTCTGCTGTGAATGAAGCCTGCTCGATAGGCAGGTCCTGCCGCTCGGCCGCCATCTTGGCGACGCCTCCGGGCAGCTTTTCAGACCAGGCTCCTGTCTGAATGAACCAGAGCTGCAGTTTCACTGGTCACCGGGAAATAAAAACTACATGAAGAGCATCAGCAGGAACATCTGATAGAAACCGCTGGAAAGTTTGACGACTTCGCCCCAAAATAAGGTTTAAAAAGTGCCCCCCCCCTTCACAGATGGAGAACCGGTCACCTGATCGGCTCCGTACTGGCCTCCTTTAGTACCGATCGAGCCCGGTGAAACCAACCAGTGAGTAACTCGGGACGTAAAAACTGCCTGCTGTTAACAAAACATTAGGGGCCCAGGCACTAAGCAGACAGTACAGATCAAGAACTAACAGATAACCACTAGATAAATAACGCACACGTCTACATACGGAAAAGCCTGCGAGCTGAAGCACCGGTGGACCCAACACGTCTGGCTTTGGTTAAACAGACCACCGAACGACTGAAAGGTTTCAGAAAGACTCGTGTAGGCAGACCACGCCGCAGCTCCTGCAGTACAGAACTCGTCAGGTGAATAAGGTCGCTGAGCGTCTGTCCTACATGATGTACAGACATCAGCCTGTAGCTGTGGACGCAGCCGAGCTTTATCTCACCCATGAACACGGAGAGGTTTCACTGAGAAACCCGTTACTGAGGCTCAGGTAAACACTAACGTTACGAGAGTGCAAGAAAAAGACAAGACAGCTGGACATGTCGTCATCACTTCTCATCAGAGTGGAAACCTGGATGAGCTGCAGTGTTCTGGAGTTAAAGCTATTAAACCTCACAGTTATCTGAAGATGGACTTTATGGCGCTGAAGGAGACACTGTAAAACTTCACTGAATTGACGCTGCCTTCATTTGGGACAGGCCTTTATGAAACAGTTAATTATTATTCTGTTTGAAATAAATTATGTAAAAGTGATCATATAGTATCAAATACACGTCATTAATGTGATCCAGCTCCGACAGGCGGCTTATGTGCTTTTATTTTGAAGGCAGCAACCTAACGAAAGCAACAACAACCGGCTGCAGGACGAGAGAAGTTAGACGGAGAGCGACAGGATTCACTACTCGGATTCTTTTGATGGGTGGACCCTGAAGACTGAAGCAAGATAAATGATCATTGATCATTTTCCCCTTTTGCTCTCTTGTAGCCATGCAGGCTGCACCGGTAAATCTAGAGCAATGAGACTCTGGCTCTTGTCGTTTGTGTTAAATGAAGTTAACAGTGGTAACTGTGGAGAATCTAACCGGTCCAACGATGTGCAGCACGTCCATACCGACATGTTGATCAGACCTTTAAACATTAATGTTTGTATTAACTAAATCTAAGCAGCTTAGAAGCAGCTAAAGCGGCGACCCCGCGGGGTTTAAGAGGTTTTATACATCCAAAGAACTTCTATAAAATAGTATTGACACATGTACCCGTGTAGAGTTTGTTATCACAGCAGCGTCTGTCTGCACTCAGACCTCTACGGAAGCCCTGAGCGGCCACACATCCAGACGTTTCCCCCGTTTCCTCCAGATAAACATGAGTAAGTCCAACGATGGTGTAGCACAGGGTTTATTACAGATAGGTAGTTCTGTAGGACGCACTGAGCTCCTCTCAGGGGGAACTGCACCTGTCCTGTAGTCTCTGAGGACCAGAGCTGGACCACGATGGTCAGGACCCGGTTCTACTGTTACAGCCGGTCTGTCTGTGACCTCTGCAGACAGACAGGTAGGAGACAGCTAGACAGAGAGACAGACAGAGAGACAGACAGAGAGAGAGACAGACAGAGAGACAGACAGACAGACAGACAGACAGTTAGAGAGAGAGACAGACAGACAGACAGTTAGACAGTTAGAGAGACATGGAGACAGACAGTTAGAGAGAGAGACAGACAGAGAGACAGACAGACAGAGAGACAGACAGTTAGAGAGAGAGACAGACAGAGAGACAGACAGTTAGAGAGAGAGACAGACAGTTAGAGAGAGAGGACAGACAGAGAGACAGTTAGAGAGAGAGAGACAGACAGACAGACAGTTAGAGAGACATGGAGACAGACAGTTAGAGAGACAGACAGAGAGACAGTTAGAGAGAGAGACAGACAGAGAGACAGACAGTTAGAGAGAGAGACAGACAGAGAGACAGACAGAGAGACAGTTAGAGAGAGAGACAGACAGAGAGAGAGACAGACAGAGAGACAGTTAGACAGAGAGACAGACAGAGAGACAGTTAGAGAGAGAGACAGACAGAGAGACAGACAGACAGAGAGACAGACAGACAGTTATAGAGACAGTTAGAGAGAGACAGACAGTTAGACAGAGAGACAGACAGAGAGACAGACAGACAGACAGAGAAACAGTTAGACAGAGAGACAGTTAGAGAGACAGACAGAGAGAGAGACAGACAGACAGTTAGAGAGACATGGAGACAGTTAGACAGAGAGACAGACAGACAGACAGAGAGACAGTTAGACAGAGAGACAGTTAGAGAGAGAGACAGACAGTTAGACAGAAAGACAGACAGTTAGACAGAAAGACAGACAGAGAGACAGACAGTTAGGCAGACAGAGAGACAGACAGACAGACAGAGAGACAGTTAGACAGACAGACAGTTAGAGAGACAGTTAGACAGACAGACAGTTAGACAGACAGACAGTTAGACAGACAGACAGACAGAGAGACAGACAGAGAGACAGACAGACAGAGAGACAGAGAGACAGTTAGACAGACAGAGAGACAGAGAGACAGTTAGACAGAGAGAGAGACAGTTAGACAGACAGAGAGACAGACAGAGAGACAGTTAGACAGACAGAGAGACAGACAGAGAGACAGTTAGACAGACAGAGAGACAGAGAGAGAGACAGATAGACAGACAGAGAGACAGTTAGACAGACAGAGAGACAGAGAGAGAGACAGTTAGACAGACAGTTAGACAGAGAGAGAGACAGTTAGACAGACAGAGAGACAGTTAGACAGACAGAGAGACAGTTAGACAGACAGAGAGACAGTTAGACAGACAGAGAGACAGAGAGACAGTTAGACAGACAGAGAGACAGAGAGAGAGACAGTTAGACAGACAGTTAGACAGACAGAGAGACAGACAGAGAGACAGTTAGACAGACAGAGAGACAGACAGAGAGACAGACAGAGAGACAGTTAGACAGACAGAGAGACAGACAGAGAGACAGAGAGACAGACAGAGAGACAGGCGGTAGCTGTGATTCATTCCTGAACTGTCAGGGGGATTTTGACATGTCGGAGCATGCGCAGTGCTTCCTCCCATCAGAACCGAGACTTACGGTTAAACTGACTAACCACCGTTAACCACCCGCCCGCAGCCCGACCCGGGTCATACCGGGCTAACTTTGGACATAAGCACATTTAAAGTCCTGTTAACTGACTTACTTTATTAGTTCACTAAACACATAATAATAATAATAATAATAATAATTATAACTGACACTCAGCGCGCGGGCACCGTTAGCTAGCGGCGGTAACTGAACGGTGTTTCCTCTCTGGACCGCTTCAGCCTGCCGTTACCGACCTGGACCCGCACTTTACCGGGCAGGGAAGCGGCTCCACGCACCGCCTTCACACCGACATCACCTAATAAACTGTCTGACCCGGGCTAAACCAGCGGGCTAAACCAGCGGGCTAAACCAGCGGGCTGAACCGAGCAGAAGCGGGTGAGAGTACAGAAAGCAGAGCCGTCTTACCTCCTCCGGTCCGTCTCCACCTGTCCTCCGAACCACAGACACACAGACGGGCGGTGTTAGTCCGACAGACAGCCCGTGTCTTCAGCGTCTGTCCTCTCCCCGTCTCTGTCTCTCTCTGTCCTGTCTCTCTCTGTCCTGTGTCTCTCTGTCCTGTCTCTCCGTCCCTCCGTCCCTGTTTTCGTGGCGCTAAACTTCAAACTTCGACCGTCGCCATTTTTCACTTTTCCCGCGAATCAGAGCAGAAGGTTTTCCATCATTTACATACGCCTCGTCATCACCGCCGTCATCACGTCACCACCAGGAAGTACTGTGCCGCTTCACGTCATCGGCCCGTTGAGAACTCCGTTCACTTTTCCACTGATTTTATCAGCTGAACCTTCGCCCTGAAACTCTTTATATACTTCACTATATACAATTGTATTTGTCAACAATACGTCTTTGTATGATTTTATTAATATTTTGCCCATAAATCTAACCCAAGCACACAGTACTTTACCGTAAAACCTTAATTAACAGCCCAGCTTTTATTTTCCTAAGTCACTGAACTCACCCAGTTTGGGACAGGCCTTTTCTTCCTTAACCATGCCGGTAAATCTGAATGAGTCATACTCATTGTTTCTGTAAAATGAACTGAAGCATTAAACTGTGGAGGATGTAACTGATCTAACGATGTGTAGCAGGACACTGACAAAGCTTTAAACATTTATGTGGGTATGTATGATCTAAGCAGCTGAGCTGAAGCAGGAGACCCGCTGGGCTTCAAGAGCTTTTATTCAAACCAGGCGTCTAATTGAGACCTGCCTTTATTTATCTAAACGTGTAGCCGCACCTGGCCAGTAAACAGGATTAGGCTTTTAATTTTATAAGTTTTACGGTATGTTAAGTTTAACAGTGACTGAGTAATGTAAATGAACGAAAGCTCCAGAATAACTACTAAATGGACTTTGTGGTGAGATTGTTTTCACAACTGCTTAACCAGGTTGTGACTGCAGCTTTTTATGTTATTTCTGAAGCTCTAAAAGTTGTAGTGTTGGCTTTGGGCAAGAAATTCAACTGTTAAATGAAAAAACAAATTGTCCTGATTAAAATTGATCAATATAATGTGACTAGTGTGAAAGGTCACATGGTCAGATTAGTTTACTTCCTGCTTGCACACCTGGAAGAAGATGTCTTCGTCACCTTAACTAACAGATATATTTTGTACATATATCCTTCTAAGCGTCTACTACTCATTTAGAGAATTATACTCCTGCATGTATATCTTGCTCGTAAGAGGTGCAGATTTGTTAACAGTCACAGTTGTGACCGGTAACACAGTCAGGTTTTGGCTGTGATCCTAGTTATCATCTGTTTATTTTCACACATTTTGAAACCAGAAGATGTGTTGGACCTCCTGGACATACGAGACCCCCCAAGTGCTGTGAGCAGCTTCACGATCATTCGTACGCTGGAGAAAGTGCCATTTGAAAGTGACAGGTAGACTATTGAATGGCAACATCAGGAGGAGGCAGATGTTCATGTATAGCAATTAGTAGTTTTGAGTGTCAGCTAATTAAATAATTATCATTAACTATGTCAAATACCTATATAGTGCAAACCAATCTGAACATGGATGAGTTGCTGAGTTTCTGTAGGGTTCATCTCACATCACTTGTCCTGGTCACATGACCGTGATGTCTACAATGAAGCGAGGCCTGCAGGTCTTTGAGGGGTGACACACTGATCGCTATGTTTGATTGGTTTAGATGTTTTATTACAGAAAGTGCATGAAACCCAAGACCGAAATAATAATTGTGTTACTTATGGATGGAATTACAGTGAAAACAAACTATTCCCCTTTTTGCTGAGGACCCCTGGAACCACCATAAGGACCCCTGGGGGTCCCCGGACCCCACTTTGAGAACCACTGTTATGAAGCACAGTTTATGTCTGCCTGCTCTGACGTTTGAAATGAAAATGTGTTGTTTAATGTTTGTGTGAATTGTGATTCTGCCGTTTCCCACCGGTCACTATTGTGACCGAGTATTTTTTGTGTGTTAGGGAGGATCTAAGGACTAAAATGACTAGGAAACTCAAATTGCTAGGAAAGATTTTTGTGATTAAACGGGTTAATAAGGAACTTTTAAAAAGGCCAGTTTTTATTAGTGCTGTTAATAAATGTCTGAATTAAAAAGCTAAGAGAAAATAAAATATGAATTTATTGTATACTAATAACAATAACAATAATGCCCCTGCATCACTGTGTGAAGGATTTATACTTGATCTCTTTTAGCAGTGTGATGAATATGAGCCCAGATCTCATCCAATCAGAGATCATTGATCAGGTATTTAAAGAACAGCGGGCGAAGTTCAATCAGAAACTCTTTAATCAACCACATTCACGTAAACTCTCACATCATCAATATGAACTCAGAACAGTGAAATCATTGATTTTCCTCTTTAAGGGGACCCGTGATGCTCATCTCCAGCTCTGACCCACTGTTTAAAAAGCACAGGCGTGGACTCGAGTCACATGACTTGGACTCCCAGATATGACGACTTTGGACGTGAAAATCAAAAAAGACTTGTAACTCGACTTTAACACCAATGACCCGTGACTTCACACGGACTCAAAGTGACTTAAAACCTTGACTATAAGTTATGATTTGAGGAAACACTTCACTTAATTCATGAAATTATGCGACGTCTGTTGGTTGAAATGTGTTCAGGACTGGACAAAGTTCAGGAAGCTCGCCGAGGGGTTTAGCTAACTCTGCTGATGGCCGTATAAAGAGAAGCGGATGCTGTGCTGGATTCTGACGGTGAACCGAGTCGTGTCGGGGTTCTGAGACGCTCAAAAGTCAGTCTCTATGTCAGGTTGGCTTCACAGCAAGCTTCCTGGGGCTTCCTCTGCCTGGACTGGGATCTCAAGCCCCGGGACCCCCGGGAGGACGAGGTCTTCAGGCCCGGACTAGCTTACGGCTAACTGAGCTAACGCTAACTACAGTTAGCAGTAGCTAGCGGTAACCTTAGCAACAAGTAAAGCCATCTGTCCATCAAGAATCTTTCCTTCACTACCGAGACGTCCAGAACACCTGCAGAGTCTCAGGAGTACTGAGGCAGGCTGAGCGGGTGGACGGCGTCCCTGTACCTGGTGGCGTGCTGAGCCCGGAGCAGGTCGTGACCATATAAAGACTGTTAAATAAATCACTGTTACCGTCCTTTACCTCACGATGTGGAACTCTTTAGTCTGAACGTCCGACGCTGTATGATCTAAAACAGAGAGCACAACAGGTCCCCTTCCAGAGACAAGGACACGTTTTATAAAACAAACACACGGCTGAAGCTGCTGCAGAGAGGTCAAAGGTCAGGCTTTGGCTCAAAGGGCAGGGTTTAAGGGCGGGGTCAAAGGTCAGGGGTCAGGTTTAGGTCAGGGTTTAAGGGGGGGTTGATGGTCAGGGGTCAGGCTTAGGCTCAGATGATCAGGAGTCCGGTTTAGCGTTAGGTCGTATCTTCATCTCGGTAAACCTGAGCGAGTACTGCCAGCCCGTCCAGCTGGACCACTCCACGCCGTCAGCGTAGGAGGCGTGGCCTCCGCTCAGGTACTGCCCGTTCAGGTTGGAGGTGTGGCAGTTACGGTACCACCACGCCCCCTGGTAGTACGTTGCACAGTTGTTCTCTGACTGGTCCTGGTCCCGGTCTTTTGTGGTGAAACGCATCCCAGAGTGCTTCAGGAGGGAGTCGCCTGGAGGACAGAATTAGACCTATTAATACTGTGTGATGGTTTATAGTACTGCAGTACTACAGCAGTACTACTAGTATTCGTACCTGCGGTCCCGGAGTACTGGTCCACGGTCAGCGGGTACCCGTCCTCCTCGGGGTTCACTGAGTCTCGACCAACAGAGAACTCAGCGTAACGAGCGAAGGCTGTGGCGTTATCGAAGTCAGCCATGTCGATCCGTAACTCATAACCACCGGAGCCAGTGAGAGAGTAGATCCTCTGGAGACCTGAGAGACAGGGGACACAGACAGGGAGACAGACAGGTGAGAGACAGGTGACACAGACAGGTGAGAGACAGGGACAGACAGGTGAGACAGACAGGGGACACAGACAGGGGACACAGACAGGGGACAGGCAGGGGGACAGACAGGTGAGACAGACAGGGGACACAGACAGGGGGACAGACAGGTGAGAGACAGGGGACAGGCAGGGGGACAGACAGGTGGGAGACAGGGGACAGACAGGTGAAAGACAGGGGGACAGACAGGTGAGACAGACAGGTGAGAGACAGGTGAGAGACAGGGGGACAGACAGGTGGGAGACAGGGGGACAGACAGGTGAGAGACAGGGGACAGACAGGTGAGAGACAGGGGACAGACAGGTGAGGCAGACAGGTGAGAGACGGGGGACAGACAGGTGGGAGATAGGGGGACAGACATGTGACAGACAGGGGACACAGACAGGTGGGAGACAGGTGAGTGACAGGGACACAGACAGGTGAGACAGAGACAGACAGGTTAGAGAGAGACAGACAGGTAAGACAAACAGGGGACACAGACAGGTGAGAGAGAGACAGACAGGTGAGAGACAGACAGGTGAGAGAGAGACAGACAGGTGAGACAGACAGGGGAGAGAGAGACAGACAGGTGAGAGGCAGACAGATGAGAGAGAGACAGGTGAGAGAGAGACAGACAGGTGAGACAGACAGGGGACACAGACAGGTGAGAGAGAGACAGACAGGTGAGACAGACAGGGGACACAGACAGGTGAGAGAGAGACAGACAGGTGAGACAGACAGGGGACACAGACAGGTGAGAGAGAGACAGACAGGTGAGAGAGAGACAGGTGAGAGAGGGACAGGTGAGAGAGAGGCAGACAGGTGAGAGAGAGACAGGTGAGAGAGAGACAGGTGAGAGAGAGGCAGACAGGTGAGAGAGAGACAGGTGAGAGAGAGAGAGAAAGGTGAGACAGGTAAGAGAGAGACAGACAGGTGAGAGAGAGACAGGTGAAAGAGAGACAGACAGGTGAGACACAGACAGGTGAGAGAGAGACAGGTGAGAGAGAGGCAGACAGGTGAGACACAGACAGGGGGACAGACAGGTGAGAGACAGGGGACAGGCAGGGGACAGACAGGTGAGACAGACAGGTGACACAGACAGGGGGACAGACAGGTGAGAGACAGGGGACAGGCAGGGGGACAGACAGGTGAGACAGACAGGGGACACAGACAGGGGGACAGACAGGTGAGAGACAGGGGACAGGCAGGGGGACAGACAGGTGGGAGACAGGTGAAAGACAGGGGACAGACAGGGGACAGACAGGGGACAGACAGGTGAGAGACAGGGGAGACAGACAGGTGGGAGACAGGTGAAAGACAGGGGGACAGACAGGTGAGACAGACAGGTGAGAGACAGGGGGACAGACAGGTGGGAGACAGGGGACAGACAGGTGAGGCAGACAGGGGACACAGACAGGTGAGAGAGAGACAGACAGGTGAGACAGACAGGGGACACAGACAGGTGAGAGAGAGACAGACAGGTGAGAGAGAGACAGACAGGTGAGAGAGACAGGGACACAGACAGGTGAGAGAGAGACAGACAGGTGAGAGAGAGACAGGTGAGAGAGGGACAGGTGAGAGAGAGGCAGACAGGTGAGAGAGAGAGACAGGTGAGACAGGTGAGAGAGAGACAGACAGGTGAGAGAGAGACAGACAGGTGAGAGAGAGACAGACAGGTGAGACACAGACAGGTGAGAGAGAGACAGGTGAGAGACAGACAGGTGAGAGAGAGACAGGTGAGAGAGGGACAGGTGAGAGAGAGGCAGACAGGTGAGACACAGACAGGTGAGAGAGAGACAGGTGAGACACAGACAGGTGAGAGAGAGACAGACATGTGAGACAGACAGGTGAGAGAGAGACAGACGAGAGAGAGACAGGTGAGAGAGAGACAGACAGGTGAGACAGACAGGGGACACAGACAGGTGAGAGAGAGACAGACAGGTGAGACAGACAGGGGACACAGACAGGTGAGAGAGAGACAGACAGGTGAGAGAGAGACAGACAGGTGAGACAGACAGGGGACACAGACAGGTGAGAGAGAGACAGACAGGTGAGAGAGAGACAGGTGAGAGAGAGACAGGTGAGAGAGGGACAGGTGAGAGAGAGGCAGACAGGTGAGACACAGACAGGTGAGAGAGAGACAGGTGAGAGAGGGACAGGTGAGAGAGAGGCAGACAGGTGAGACACAGACAGGTGAGAGAGAGACAGGTGAGACACAGACAGGTGAGAGAGAGACAGACATGTGAGACAGACAGGTGAGAGAGAGACAGACGAGAGAGAGACAGGTGAGAGAGAGACAGACAGGTGAGACAGACAGGGGACACAGACAGGTGGGAGACAGGAGACAGACAGGTGAGACAGACAGGGGACACAGACAGGTGAGAGAGAGACAGACAGGTGAGAGAGAGACAGACAGGTGAGACAAACAGGGGACACAGACAGGTGAGAGAGAGACAGACAGGTGAGAGAGAGACAGGTGAGAGAGAGACAGGTGAGAGAGAGACGGACAGGTGAGAGAGAGACAGGTGTGAGAGAGAGAGACAGGTGAGACAGGTGAGAGAGAGACAGGTGAGAGAGGGACAGGTGAGAGAGAGACAGACAGGTGAGAGAGAGACAGGTGAGAGAGAGAGAGACAGGTGAGAGAGAGACAGGTGAGAGAGAGACAGGTGAGAGAGGGACAGGTGAGAGAGAGGCAGACAGGTGAGACACAGACAGGTGAGAGAGAGACAGGTGAGAGAGAGAGAGACAGGTGAGAGAGAGACAGGTGAGAGAGAGACAGGTGAGAGAGAGACAGGTGAGAGAGAGGCAGACAGGTGAGACAGGTGAGACAGGTGAGACAGGTGAGATTGCCTTCACATCACATTGGCAGGGAACTGTAGGCAGCGACTGCACCAGAGCCCTTTAAAGACAGAGTCGCGTCACCTCCGTTCACTTCAGTGGACCAGTTTTCACAGCAATGGCGGATCATGCAGCGTCTGAATAGTTCCCGGAAGTTAGCATCAAATGCTAACAGCGCAGCGGAGCTGCAATAGAAAATGCTGTCTGGGATGCACGTTTGAAAGGTAAGACGTGTAAAAAACAAGATTATGTATTATTAGCACAACTGAATGAAGATAACATGTGCATTAAAAGATGTTAGTGGACGTCCCCACTAAATTAGAAGATTTAGGGACATTAACGGTTAACAAGCAGCACACAATATAAACAGGGGCAGCTTATTAATTTATTTTAAAATACGTATTTTTGGGGGGTGGGATTTAATAGTATTTAAATATTTTAGTGGTGCATGTATAAATAAAATATTTCAAAACGTCATTTATTTATTTGGGGGGAGTTATCCCTAACACTAAAAGTAGTATACTTGTCACGAGGTCTCAACTATGACTACGCTGGGAGGGTCTGTGTGTGGTTGTCTGTGTTTTCTTACTTCCTGTTTCTGAGTGTGTGAGGCTGGCTGGTGTGTTTTGGTTTTTCTCTCTACCTTTGCAGTTTGACAGGAGGCGTGACTGGTGGGGAAGCATGGGGCTCACTCACCTGTCTGGCAGACTGATTAGCACACCTGATCCATATCATGTGGTTCTGTGCTGCTTCATAAGCCCTGCAGTTCTCCTCAGCCTTCGCTGGATTGTTATGTTGTATAGAGTAGGTCTTTTGCTGGCACCCAGCCTTGTTGCGACCATTGTTCTCTGTTATGCCTTGTGATTAACTTTGTCTTTGGTTTTCTCAGTCTGGAGAGGACGCCTTCCCTTATGCCCATACCTGCCTGTTTTTTCTGGAGGAGCAAACACTGCCTGCCGTCCCTGCCTATCAATAAAGTCTGTGAAAAGGCCTCCCGTCTGAGGCTGCTACTGGGTTCTGGTTAAACCATATCTGACAATACTAGCATATTATAAAAACAATGTTCATTAATTATATTAGAGCAGTAGACTCTGCGAGGTGGAGGAGCAGTGATGTTAAAGAGGACTGAGTGGTGAGTGTAAATGCCTGTAATAATATACCATTTACAAGAAATCTTCAAATGTTTTATCATTTTCTTTCCTTTCTCCCAGTGTCTGCATCCCGTCTTAGCTTATGAGCTTGTTTTCCACACAACAATTCAGGTTTATTTACGTGTGTGTGTGTGTGTACACTCAATTCTTACTGGATATGTTTACTCTAATTACATAATTACTCTATACAAATTCATATCACATCATCAGAGTTCCTGTGTGTGAGAACTGTTTGAAAAAATAAAAACACTCACTAACTAACAAACTATCTAGTAACTGATGCCAACATCAGCAGCAAAAGCTGTTAATGAAGATCCAGAACTTTCTCAATCAAACCTGTAGCCGTTTACAAGAAAGGTTGAACTGAGAGCAACTGGACTTCTTCTGACACGTCCAGATGCTCCCGATTCACCTTTTCTTGGATAAACATGACCTGGATGAATCTTTACAGATGTGTAGGTTTGTCTAACCCTTTCTCTTGTTCTCCCCCTCTCAGCACAAGAATCACAGGGGGTTCAGTGGAGCCTGAAGATCATCTGCAGTGATGTTTTAATAAACCAAACATAAAGCCAGTGATGTGTTCTTTCTCCGTGGAAAAAGTACCCCTCATATTTTTTTGTTGTTAGCGTCTTTACTGGTTGTAAGTTGCTCCTGTTGACCTGAGTTAACCATTTTTTCCCTCCTCACCATGTCAGCTGGGAAACCAAACATTCGTACTCATTTTTCTGACTGACTGCAGCATCATCTCCACACAGCACAATAAACTGTGCTGTAGACTATTGTAAGAAAGCACGCAGGCACAAACCAATTAACATGCTGTTTTCTGAGTTTATTGGAGATTTATTAAATTAATCCATGACAATCATTGATGGTCACCTGTCTGTTCTATCTAAAGTCATAAAGTTTACATTAGACATTAAGATCAATTAACCCTGGTACCACGGGATTATAAAAGGTATGTTAGAAAGGTAAATCTGATCTGAATTTTAAACGTGTTTTCAAGAGGAACACACTTTCCAATATAAGGTTGGCCAAAAAATGTCCACAAGGTAGGTCATTGTAGCTGTTATTGTCAAAAATATATCATTTTAAATCCTTTTTAAAAAAAAGAGTAATGTAACTAAATACACGTGTCACTGTGCTGTGCAAATATTGTAAATCAACGCATTTATTGTATAAATTACCAGAAATCAGTTAAAATCGCCTTTTTGTCATTTCTCTCGCTCATTTTGAAATGCCCGTCTAGGACTTCCGGGAACTATCTGCGGTCTCCGTGAACCACGTGACGATGTAACATTTTGGACCCCTGCTGACGCGACTGTCTCTTTAAAGGGCTCTGGACTGCACTAAAAGAAACAACTGGTAGGGCTCTCTATGCAATCAAACAGAAAATCTATATTAAAAGTTTCCTGTCTGAAATCTGGAGTTAAATCTCTGACGGTGTGTTAAGTCGCTCTGGAGGTGAAGTTTGGATCCACTCAGTCATCAGAACTCCAACAGCTGGGAGAAGCACTGAGAGCGGACATGCTGAACATTCAGAGAAAGACTCCTCCAGATGCCTGTAGAGCAGAATCAGGGAGGTTTCCTCTGATAATAGACCTCCAGTAAAGACAACCAAACTTCCTGATGCTCTGCAGATCCTGTTCTAAAGACTCCCTCCAGATCAAGGCTCTTTAAACCCTGAAGAGTCCCTTATGCTGCTGGTCCTGAGACTAAAAGATCAACATGTCTCAGACCTCTCTGAAGCCAGCTCTGCTTTACAGACACCAGGTAGAGGAAACCACATGATCACTCACAATCATCAATATGTGTCCCTGTGTCCAACCTGAGGGACAGCGAGACGCTGGCAGGTTACATCTGGTTACTTCCTGTTTGTAGTTTACCTTCTTCTTCCTGTATGTAGTTTACCACCTTCTTCCTGTTTGTAGTTTACCACCTTCTCCCTGTATGTAGTTTACCACCTTCTTCCTGTATGTAGTTTACCACCTTCTCCCTGTATGTAGTTTACCACCTTCTCCCTGTATGTAGTTTACCACCTTCTCCCTGTATGTAGTTTACCACCTTCTTCCTGTATGTAGTTTACCACCTTCTTCCTGTATGTAGTTTACCACCTTATGTAGTTTACCACCTTCTCCCTGTATGTAGTTTACCACCTTCTCCCTGTATGTAGTTTACCACCTTCTCCCTGTTTGTAGTTTACCACCTTCTCCCTGTATGTAGTTTACCACCTTCTCCCTGTATGTAGTTTACCACCTTCTTCCTGTATGTAGTTTACCACCTTCTCCCTGTATGTAGTTTACCACCTTCTCCCTGTATGTAGTTTACCACCTTCTCCCTGTATGTAGTTTACCACCTTCTTCCTGTTTGTAGTTTACCACCTTCTCCCTGTATGTAGTTGACCACCTTCTCCCTGTTTGTAGTTGACCACCTTCTCCCTGTATGTAGTTGACCACCTTCTCCCTGTATGTAGTTTACCACCTTTTCCCTGTATGTAGTTTACCACCTTCTCCCTGTTTGTAGTTTACCACCTTCTTCCTGTTTGTAGTTTACCTTTTTCTTTCTGTTTGTAGTTCTTCTGATAAACTGAACCGTCATCATTAAACTAATTCTTGTTTTGTTATATTCACAGATCGTGTGTGTGTGAGTCAGACCTAGCCAGTGCTCTCCTGTAGTTTTGCCGAACCCGTCTCTGTATGCAGCCCACTCTCTGAAGAAATTCACCGAGCCGTCCTCCCTCCTCTGGATCACCTGCACACACAGTGTTCATGTCAGCTGATATGTCATTACATTTCATTCATGATGTCTGATTCAGTCAGCTGATTATTACGTCCTGTATTAATGTATTTCATCAACTCGTTCTTCACCTCTGCTGCCACGTCACATAAAGTCCGAATGTTTCTGGAACACGTAGATGAAACGTTTGAACCCGTGAACAGATCTGTAGCTGGACGCCACATTTAGTGAACGACGGTAAAACATTTGCAGAAATGATTTCCACTGTGTGGTTTGCAGCTACACGGGTATCAGACCCACGGGTGCTACAGCCCCACCTGTGACTCCTGAATGGCCAATGAAGACGCTCAGATTAACACATCATTTGACTATCCAATCACAGAGCCAGGGGGCGGGGCTTCTGCGAGTCTGCCTTGTGGAAAACCTGACTCGAGACTTGCTACACAGAGATGGGAGCAGAAGTTAGAATAAGTGGGTCTATAATTTTGTTTTAGTGCAACCGTGGTAATGATCAATCATTTAAACAGGCCTCTCTCAAAATCAATAAAAGAACGTGACGGATCAGCTGCAGGTTAATCCAGGACGGCCTGACAGGTTTTATATGTTTGCTCGCTAAGCTTATTAGAGCTAACGAGCTCAGACACATAGGTGTGAGGTACCTTACATAGGTGTGTGTGTGTTTGTGCGTGTGTTACCGTCCAGCCTCCTCCATCGGTGGTCATGTCACAGTAAACCATGAAGCCGTCGGGGTCGTGGGTTGGAAACACAGAGTAAACGCCGTCCTGAGCGCCGCCTGACGCCATGACATCACTACAGTCTGTGGGTCTCCCAGCTGAGGGCGAGAGACATCCAGACAGACAGGTTTGAATGACAGGTGTCCGTCACAGGTGCAGCGACGAGGCCAAGTTCTTCAAAACTTTTTGCCCCGGCTGAACGACATGTTTCCTTGAAACGGGCTTCAAGGCATTTTATCCCGTTTGGTGGGCGTGTCAGAGGTGTGAGCCAATCAGCAGTGGAAGCCACAGGGTCGTTCGGGGCACCACCGTTAATAGTAATCAACGTTTACTGCTGTTTACTGGTGTGTAGTACTGTGTGTAGTACTGTTTGTAGTACTGTGTAGTAGTACCTCTGTCTCTGCTGTCCCTCTGCAGCTCACTGCTGAGCCTCCTCAGACTCTCTGTCTCCCTCTGTAGTACTGTGTGTAGTACTGTGTGTAGTACTGTGTGTAGTACTGTTTGTAGTACTGTGTAGTAGTACCTCTGTCTCTGCTGTCCCTCTGCAGCTCACTGCTGAGCCTCCTCAGACTCTCTGTCTCCCTCTGCAGGCCGAGCAGAGAATCACTGAAACCTGCAGCCAGCTTCATCACACCTGAGTGGCTGTCAGATAACACCTGCACAGGTAAGAGAGGTACGCATTGTATTAATGTCTTGTACTGACTGTTAATTTGTTTATTTTATTTAAACATTTTATTTTTATTGGGTTTCTGATTATGTTAAGTGTAATTCTCTTTGCTTTATTTAGTAATGAACTATATTTGATTGAGTTTTATTTTTCTAAATGAACCTGAGAGATGCGGCTCTGCTCGCTCTGCAAGGCGACCAGTTGCTGGTCCAGAACACCTTGACCTCTTTTCAGCGAATCAGCTTCCAGCCTCAGGTGGTGGGCGTGGCCTGACAACACCTTCAGCTCCTCGGCCAGCTTCTGGACCAATCCCGCGTCCTGCCAGTCATCTGCGTTGTGATTGGACAGCGCTCGCAGCAGAGAGCTCTGCAGCGCCTCCCAGCGCAGGAAGCTATCGCTATAGTCTGGACAGTTCGGGTCCAAGAAAATGCTGATTGGCTCTCCGTCTGCGACCCGGGAGATGGACACCAGGGCGCCAGACTCTCTGGGATTGGTTGAGATTACAGGTGAGGAGGAGGAGACCCCGCCCCTGTTACTGTGACAACAATGACAGAGAGTGAGTCAGACAAACAGACAGGTGGGTCAGACAGAAAGGTGAGTCAGACAGACAGGTGAGTTTACCTGCTGATGAAGGGCAGAGGATACTGGTTCAGGTACAGGATAGTGACTGTTACTGTGACGATGGTTGCTATGACGATTAAAACGACGACGGACCATAACAGGAAGCTGCAGCACCTCTGAACACACACACGCAGTACGATCAATCAATATGTCTCATCAAAAAGTAACATGTGACATGATGAGTTTAATGAAATCTGTAAATCAGATGAATGTAGTGTAGTATGTAGTAGGTATAATAATAATAATATTCTGTGGTGACACAGATAAATTAATGTATTTAATATATATTTATGTCAAAAACAAAGTTCAGTCAGGACAAATTCCTCATATACTTTATTTGCTTGCAGGAATTATGTTTGGCAGTGTTGCTCTGTTCTGGTACCCTCTGGGAGAGCACCTCCCCTCCTCCACCTCCTCGCCCTTCCACATGCCGACATAGAAAGCCATAAGACTGGAAGAGCACCTCCCCGCCCTTCCGTGTACAAACCAATTGCCAATGAATGCTTGGAGGGAAATCAGCTGATGAAAGCTTGACTTGACATGGACTGCTATCAGCCAATGTATTGGGTTTGTGAGCTGAGCTTGACTTCGTTGCCTGCCTGAATTAACAATATGCTTAATTTTAACTATAACATTGTACTTTAAACAATATGTAAATGGAAAAATGTTGCCTACATTTTGCAAATTACAAGCCTTGCTGAAATAGAACAATCATCTCGAGGGACAGGCCAAAAACCCATCAGCAAAAAGTAATTTTTGATTGTTTAAAATAATTTTAATTGGCTTTAATTTGATGCTATATTGAGGAAAGAAGACATGGTAATGCTTTGAAATACATATTTGTTTGTTATGACAGACATTATCTGTAATTTTATGACTGAATATTTCTTCCTCCACCAATAAGAGGGTTACAGCAGTCTGGATGCAGTCTGGATGTGGGTTGTGGGTTAACACCTCCCCTGTGGTGCGGACTATGTGTGTGTTCTGTAGTGTTTAATCTGTAGATCCTCAGTCGATGTCAGTGAAGGCGACAGCTGCTGCAGATTAGAGACACTTTAATCTGACAGATTAACTCCAGATTAACACGAATTAACTCTTTGTGTGTCTGTCGTTCGCTTGGTTTGTGTGTCTGTCTGTTGGGGGACGATGGGGGGAGTCAGCCCGGGTTTGGGTCTAACTGGCAAGCTAACATGCTAACTGCTAATGTAGCATGTCTGAGGCCTTACCTTGTGTTTACTCGGTCGTTTGCTGTCAAGCTCGGAGCTGCTGTTGTTCATGATGGTCCACCTGTCATTCAGCATCATCCTGAAACACAAACACACCTGAACCGGGTGAGATCCAGTTCCTAGTCCGGTTTACAGTCACAAAGGCAAAACTCAAACAGTCCAGAAGTTGAAAACAAAAGCCATGTGGTGAAAATGCTGTTCGATTTGTTTGGTCATACAGTCAGCAGGTAAAAAAGATAAACCCCTCCAAATACCTATATACAGGTGCTGGTCATATAATTAGAATATCATCAAAAAGTAGATTTATTTCAGTAATTCCATTCAAAAAGTGAAACTTGGATATTATATTCATTCATTACACACAGACTAATATATTTCAAATGTTTATTTCATTTAATTGTGATGATTAAAACTGACAATGAAAATCCCAAATTCAGTATCTCCAAAAATTAGAATATTACTTAAGACCAATATAAAAAAAGGATTTTTAGAAATGTTGGCCAACTGAAAAGTATGAACATGAAAAGTATGAGCATGTACAGCACTCAATACTTAGCTGGGGCTCCTTTTGCCTGAATTACTGCAGCAATGCGGCGTGGCATGGAGTCCATCAGTCTGCAGCACTGCTCAGGTGTTATGAGAGCCCAGGTTGCTCTGATAGTGGCCTTCAGCTCTTCTGCATTGTTGGGTCTGGCGTATCGTATCTTCCTCTTCACAATAGCCCATAGATTTTCTATAGGGTTAAGGTCAGGCCAGTTTGCTGGCCAATTAAGAACAGGGACACCATGGTCCTTAAACCAGGTCCTGATAGCTTTGGCACTGTGTGCAGGTGCCAAGTCCTGTTGGAAAATGAAATCTGCATCTCCATAAAGTTGGTCAGCAGCAGGAAGCATGAAGTGCTCTAAAACTTCCTGGTAGACGGCTGCGTTGACCTTGGACCTCAGAAAACACAGTGGACCAACACCAGCAGATGACATGGCACCCCAAACCATCACTGACTGTGGAAACTTTACACTGGACTTCAAGCAACGTGGATTCTGTGCCTCTCCTCTCTTCCTCCAGACTCTGGGACCTTGATTTCCAAAGGAAATGCAAAATTTACTTTCATCAGAGAACATAACTTTGGACCACTCAGCAGCAGTCGAGTCCTTTTTGTCTTTAGCCCAGGCGAGACGCTTCTGACGCTGTGTCTTGTGTAATGCGAAAGCTAAAACCCATGTCTTGCATACATCGTGGTGGTTCTTGAAGCACTGACTCCAGCTGCAGTCCACTCTTTGTGAATCTCCCCCACATTTTTGAATGGGTTTTGTTTCACAATCCTCTCCAGGGTGCGGTTATCCCTATTGCTGGTACACTTTTTTCTACCACATCTTTTCCTTCCCTTCGCCTCTCTATTAATGTGCTTGGACACAGAGCTCTGTGAACAGCCAGCCTCTTTAGCGATGACCTTTTGTGTCTTGCCCTCCTTGTGCAAGGTGTCAATGGTCGTCTTTTGGACGGCAAGTCAGCAGTGATTGTGTAGAACTAGACTGAGAGACCATTTAAAGGCCTTTGCAGGTGTTTTGAGTTAATTAACTGATTACAGTGTGGCACCAGGTTTCTTCAATATTGAACCTTTTCACAATATTATAATTTTCTGAGATACTGATTTTGGGTTTTCATTAGTTGTCAGTTATAATCATCAAAATTAAAAGGAATGAACACTTGAAATATATCAGTCTGTGTGGAATGAATGTAAACATTATACAAGTTTCACTTTTTGAATGGAATTACTGAAATAAATGAACTTTTTGATGATATTCTAATTATATGACCAGCACCTGTACTGCAGTACTTTGATGTACTGTTGACGCAGTGTCAATAAGTTACCACAGTAAAGTTTTATTCAGTGTTGCTGTTAGTTCCTCATTTAGCAGACTTACATTTCCTTCGTGGACGATAAAGTGCTGGATTCAGATTGTTCAGCTGCAGCCTATGTTATATTTAAAATATATCGGCTTTAATCTGACGGGACAAACAGACATGAGACATGACCATAAGCTCACAATCTGATCCTGCAGTAATGTGTTAGCTGATTTGAGGTTAAAGTAAAGTAGATTTTAGATGTTGAACTTTTATATGGATCTTGGCTCAGCAGCATTTGGTGGTTTTATTTCAGCTGCTTCTACACATGTAGTAAATTTAAACACAGTAAACTGATAAAACCCAGTCATCCTGTTAAAAACTCGTACTTCCTGCAGCTGCACCCCCACCCTGCTCACTCACAAATATTAACATATGATCCCCAATATTAAAGGAATTATGTTCCATCAGTGCAACTCATCATGAACGAAAGAGATAATTATTCACTGATCCGACGTGTCTTAAGCTGCATACAGATTCTCACAGTTTACACTGAGATTACGCATCATGTGCAGTAAACATGTTAGTGGAGCTGCTCTAGCGTACAGTGTTGTTACATGCAGAGGTTTGTTCTGCGCTGAGGGCGACCTGATGCTGTGTAATATTTAAATGTGAAGACAAAGCAATGACTGCCAGCTCATTAAACTGTTGGTACAGACGTGTTAATAAGGACTCGCTGCTACAGACTCGTTGGTATATAGTTGTTTCTACAGACTCGTTGGTATATAGTTTTTTGTACAGACTCGTTGGTAGAGACGTGTTAGTAAGGACTCGTTGGTATATAGTTGTTGGTACAGACGTGTTAATAAGGACTCACTGCTACAGACTCGTTGGTATATAGTTGTTGGTACAGACGTGTTTATAAAGACTTGTTGGTATATAGTTGTTGGTACAGACGTGTTAATAAGGACTCACTGCTACAGATTCGTTGGTATATAGTTGTTGGTACAGACGTGTTAATAAGGACTCACTGCTACAGATTCGTTGGTATATAGTTGTTTGTACAGACTCGTTGGTATATAGTTGTTTGTACAGACTCGTTGGTATATAGTTGTTTGTACAGACTCGTTGGTATATAGTTGTTTGTACAGACTCGTTGGTATATAGTTGTTGGTAGAGACGTGTTAGTAAGGACTCGTTGGTATATAGTTGTTGGTACAGACGTGTTAATAAGGACTCGCTGCTACAGACTCGTTGGTATATAGTTGTTTGTACAGACTCGTTGGTATATAGTTGTTTGTACAGACTCGTTGGTATATAGTTGTTTGTACAGACTCGTTGGTATATAGTTGTTTGTACAGACTCGTTGGTATATAGTTGTTGGTAGAGACGTGTTAGTAAGGACTCGTTGGTATATAGTTGTTGGTACAGACGTGTTAATAAGGACTCGTTGGTATATAGTTGTTGGTACAGACGTGTTTATAAAGACTCGTTGGTATATAGTTGTTGGTACAGACGTGTTAATAAAGACTCGTTGGTATATAGTTGTTGGTACAGACGTGTTAATAAAGACTCGTTGGTATATAGTTGTTGGTACAGACGTGTTAATAAGGACTTGTTGGTACAGACGTGTTAATAAGGACTCGTTGGTATATAGTTGTTGGTACAGACGTGTTAATAAGGACTCGTTGGTATATAGTTGTTGGTACAGACGTGTTAATAAGGACTCGTTGGTATATAGTTGTTGGTACAGACGTGTTAATAAGGACTCGTTGGTATATAGTTGTTGGTACAGACGTGTTAATAAGGACTCGCTGGTATATAGTTGTTGGTACAGACGTGTTAATAAGGACTCGCTGCTACAGACTCGTTGGTATATAGTTGTTGGTACAGACGTGTTAATAAGGACTCGTTGGTATATAGTTGTTGGTACAGACGTGTTAATAAGGACTCGTTGGTATATAGTTGTTGGTACAGACGTGTTAATAAGGACTCGTTGGTATATAGTTGTTGGTACAGACGTGTTAATAAGGACTCGTTGGTATATAGTTGTTGGTACAGACGTGTTAATAAAGACTCGTTGGTATATAGTTGTTGGTAGAGACGTGTTAATAAGGACTCGCTGCTACAGACTCGTTGGTATATAGTTGTTGGTACAGACGTGTTAGTAAGGACTCGTTGGTATATAGTTGTTGGTACAGACGTGTTAATAAGGACTCGCTGCTACAGACTCGTTGGTATATAGTTGTTTGTACAGACGTGTTAATAAGGACTCACTGCTACAGATTCGTTGGTATATAGTTGTTTGTACAGACTCGTTGGTATATAGTTGTTTGTACAGACTCGTTGGTATATAGTTGTTTGTACAGACTCGTTGGTATATAGTTGTTTGTACAGACTCGTTGGTATATAGTTGTTGGTACAGACGTGTTAATAAGGACTCGCTGCTACAGACTCGTTGGTATATAGTTGTTGGTACAGACGTGTTAGTAAGGACTCGTTGGTATATAGTTGTTGGTACAGACGTGTTAATAAGGACTCGTTGGTATATAGTTGTTGGTACAGACGTGTTAATAAGGACTCGCTGCTACAGACTCGTTGGTATATAGTTGTTGGTACAGACGTGTTAATAAGGACTCACTGCTACAGACTCGTTGGTATATAGTTGTTGGTACAGACGTGTTAGTAAGGACTCGTTGGTATATAGTTGTTGGTACAGACGTGTTTAATAAGGACACTGATACAGACTCGTTGGTATATAGTTGTTGGTACAGACGTGTTAATAAGGACTCACTGCTACAGACTCGTTGGTATATAGTTGTTGGTACAGACGTGTTTATAAAGACTTGTTGGTATATAGTTGTTGGTACAGACGTGTTAATAAGGACACTGATACAGACTCGTTGGTATATAGTTGTTGGTACAGACGTGTTAATAAAGACTCGTTGGTATATAGTTGTTGGTACAGACGTGTTTAATAAGGACACTGATACAGACTCGTTGGTATATAGTTGTTGGTACAGACGTGTTAATAAGGACTCACTGATACAGACTTGTTGGTATATAGTTGTTGGTACAGACGTGTTAATAAGGACTCGCTGCTACAGACTCGTTGGTATATAGTTGTTGGTACAGACGTGTTAATAAGGACTCGTTGGTATATAGTTGTTGGTACAGACGTGTTAATAAGGACTCGCTGCTACAGATTCGTTGGTATATAGTTGTTGCTACAGACATGTTAATAAGGACTCGCTGTTACAGACTTGTTGGTATATAGTTGTTGGTACAGACGTGTTAGTAAGGACTCGTTGGTATATAGTTGTTGGTAGAGACGTGTTAATAAGGACTCGCTGCTACAGACTCGTTGGTATATAGTTGTTGGTACAGACGTGTTAATAAGGACTCGTTGGTATATAGTTGTTGGTACAGACGTGTTAATAAGGACTCGCTGCTACAGACTCGTTGGTATATAGTTGTTGGTACAGACGTTTTAGTAAGGACTCGCTGCTACAGACTCGTTGGTATATAGTTGTTGGTACAGACGTTTTAGTAAGGACTCGTTTGTATATAGTTGTTGGTACAGACGTGTTAATAAAGACTCGTTGGTATATAGTTGTTGGTAGAGACGTGTTAATAAGGACTCGCTGCTACAGACTCGTTGGTATATAGTTGTTGGTAGAGACGTGTTAATAAGGACTCGCTGCTACAGACTCGTTGGTATATAGTTGTTGGTACAGACGTGTTAATAAAGACTCGTTGGTATATAGTTGTTGGTAGAGACGTGTTAATAAGGACTCGCTGCTACAGACTCGTTGGTATATAGTTGTTGGTACAGACGTGTTAGTAAGGACTCGTTTGTATATAGTTGTTGGTACAGACGTGTTAATAAAGACTCGTTGGTATATAGTTGTTGGTAGAGACGTGTTTAATAAGGACACTGATACAGACTCGTTGGTATATAGTTGTTGGTACAGACGTGTTAATAAGGACTCACTGCTACAGACTCGTTGGTATATAGTTGTTGGTACAGACGTGTTTATAAAGACTCGTTGGTATATAGTTGTTGGTACAGACGTGTTAATAAGGACTCGTTGGTATATAGTTGTTGGTACAGACGTGTTAATAAAGACTCGTTGGTATATAGTTGTTGGTACAGACGTGTTAATAAAGACTCGTTGGTATATAGTTGTTGGTACAGACGTGTTAATAAGGACTCACTGCTACAGACTCGTTGGTATATAGTTGTTGGTACAGACGTGTTAGTAAGGACTCGTTGGTATATAGTTGTTGGTACAGACGTGTTAATAAGGACACTGATACAGACTCGCTGGTATATAGTTGTTGGTACAGACGTGTTAATAAGGACTCGTTGGTATATAGTTGTTGGTACAGACTTGTTGATAAGGACTCGTTGATATAGAGTTGGTGGTGAAGACTCATTAGTAACGACTCGTTGGTACAGACTCAGTGGTACAGACTTGTTAATAAGGACTCGCTGCTACAGACTCGTTGGTATACAGTTATTTATACAGACTTGTTGATAAGGACTCGCTGCTACAGACTTGTTGGTACAGAGTTGTTGGTACAGACTCGGTGGGAGAGACTTGTTGATAAGGACTTGTTATATAGTTGTTGTTAAAGACTCTTTGATGAGGTCTGGCTGAGCGGCTGGCCGGCCTTCTGTCTCTGAGTCTGTGAGCGTCTGTTTCTGTCAGAGTCACTTTAGTCGGACTGATCAGCACTTGGTGACGTTAAACGACCTGCTGTCACAGAAACAACGAGTCCTTCCTGTAACTCAGCGTGAAGCCACGATGGATTTATTTACACTGCATTTAACCTTTGACCCCACGGACAGGTGAGTAGTTCAAACATCAGAACAGATTTGAGATCAGAATCTGTAACCTTCACACGTCCAGAGTGCATCGCCTATTATTCTCCAGCAGGAAGCAGAAGATAACTAGGAACACGGACAGACAGACCTGAGACCAGCAGAACCAACAGGCCTCATGAAAACCAACGGGGCTGCAAGAAACTGACCTGAGAACAGCAGAACCAACAGGCTGCATGAAACTGACCCGGGAGCAGCAGAACCAACAGGCTGCATGAAACTGACCTGAGAACAGCAGAACCAACAGGCTGCATGAAACTGACCCGGGAGCAGCAGAACCAACAAACTGTATGAAACTGACCTGAGAACAGCAGAACCAACAGGCCTCATGAAACTGACCTGAGAACAGCAGAACCAACAGGCTGCATGAAACTGACCTGAGAACAGCAGAACCAACAGGCTGCAAGAAACTGACCTGAGAACAGCAGAACCAACAGGCTGCATGAAACTGACCTGAGAACAGCAGAACCAACAGGCTGTATGAAACTGACCTGAGAACAGCAGAACCAACAGGCTGCAAGAAACTGACCTGAGAACAGCAGAACCAACAGGCTGCATGAAACTGACCTGAGAACAGCAGAACCAACAGGCTGCAAGAAACTGACCTGAGAACAGCAGAACCAACAGGCTGCAAGAAACTGACCTGAGAACAGCAGAACCAACAGGCTGCATGAAACTGACCCGAGAGCAGCAGAACCAACAGGCTGCATGAAACTGACCTGAGAACAGCAGAACCAACAGGCCGCATGAAACTGACCTGAGAACAGCAGAACCAACAGGCTGCATGAAACTGACCCGGGAGCAGCAGAACCAACAAACTGTATGAAACTGACCTGAGAACAGCAGAACCAACAGGCCTCATGAAACTGACCTGAGAACAGCAGAACCAACAGGCTGCATGAAACTGACCTGAGAACAGCAGAACCAACAGGCTGTATGAAACTGACCTGAGAACAGCAGAACCAACAGGCTGCATGAAACTGACCTGAGAACAGCAGAACCAACAGGCTGCATGAAACTGACCTGAGAACAGCAGAACCAACAGGCTGCATGAAACTGACCTGAGAACAGCAGAACCAACAGGCTGCATGAAACTGACCTGAGAACAGCAGAACCAACAGGCTGCATGAAACTGACCTGAGAGCAGCAGAACCAACAGGCTGCATGAAACTGACCTGAGAACAGCAGAACCAACAGGCTGCATGAAACTGACCTGAGAACAGCAGAACCAACAGGCTGCATGAAACTGACCTGAGAACAGCTGACCATACTTCACTGGAACATTTACTTTGTCATTCTTATATATTAGTATTACTCGTAGAGTCTGAAGTACTGTAATATTTATACTTCAGGAAGTTTTTCTTTAAAGCTGCTCACCTGATAATCAATAGTTCCCTCGCTGTCTTCAGGCTCCAGGTGACGATGTAACAAACCTCCCAAATCAAACTTTATTCCGTCCGCTCAGAGACGTGTTACGTGTTCGGGTCGCCGTGGAAACAGAAACAGATCCTCAGAGAGACCATCTGCTGAGGCGGGGCGAGAGACACTGAGAGAGAGAGAGAGGTGATGCTGAGATAATCTGATCAGATTATCAGAGATTATCAGAGACGGTCAGAGATCAGTAAATACAGAGACGTGTTGTTGTACTTCCTGTTTGTGTTAACGTCTTAAATTCTCTGATTTCTGAGTGGAGTTTGGTTTGTTGCTGTGGGAACGCCCCCCCCCCCCCCCCACTTCCCCTCTGTTAATGACAAACACATGTGGACCTCCTCTCTGTGTGACAGGAAGTGACTGAACGTTACCAACAACACAGGAAGTCCAGCACTGATTTTCACAGTAAAAGCCTGGTGCTGATTCCAGATGTTGAAACAGGGGAAATCTTTAACTTTAACCTGACGTACGACCGAGACCATAAACTCATCAGGAAAGTGTTTACTGAGGGAATAAATCAGCTGACAAGTAGAAACATTTTCTCAGACTTCTATACAATCACTATACAATACAATCATCAATACAATTCTATACAATCACACTTCTTTCTGCAGCCAGAGGAGTCGCCCCTTGCTGGCTGTTAGAGAGAACCCAGGTTTAAGTCGCCCCCTGCTGGCTGTTAGAGAGAACCCAGGTTTAAGTCGCCCCCTGCTGGCTGCTAGAGAGGATGCAGGTTTAAGTCGCCCCCTGCTGGCTGCTAGAGAGGACGCAGGTTTAAGTCGCCCCCTGCTGGCTGCTAGAGAGGATGCAGGTTTAAGTCGCCCCCTGCTGGCTGCTAGAGAGGACGCAGGTTTAAGTCGCCCCCTGCTGGCTGCTGGAGAGGACGCAGGTTTAAGTCGCCCCCTGCTGGCTGCTAGAGAGAACGCAGGTTTAAGTCGCCCCCTGCTGGCTGTTAGAGAGGACGCAGGTTTAAGTCGCCCCCTGCTGGCTGTTAGAGAGGACGCAGGTTTAAGTCGCCCCCTGCTGGCTGCTAGAGAGAACGCAGGTTTAAGTCGCCCCCTGCTGGCTGCTAGAGAGAACGCAGGTTTAAGTCGCCCCCTGCTGGCTGTTAGAGAGGACGCAGGTTTAAGTCGCCCCCTGCTGGCTGTTAGAGAGGACGCAGGTTTAAGTCGCCCCCTGCTGGCTGCTAGAGAGGACGCAGGTTTAAGTCGCCCCCTGCTGGCTGCTAGAGAGGACGCAGGTTTAAGTCGCCCCCTGCTGGCTGCTAGAGAGGACGCAGGTTTAAGTCGCCCCCTGCTGGCTGCTGGAGAGGACGCAGGTTTAAGTCGCCCCCTGCTGGCTGCTGGAGAGGACGCAGGTTTAAGTCGCCCCCTGCTGGCTGTTAGAGAGGACGCAGGTTTAAGTCGCCCCCTGCTGGCTGTTGGAGAGGACGCAGGTTTAAGTCGCCCCCTGCTGGCTGCTGGAGAGAACGCAGGTTTAAGTCGCCCCCTGCTGGCTGCTGGAGAGGACGCAGGTTTAAGTCGCCCCCTGCTGGCTGCTGGAGAGGACGCAGGTTTAAGTCGCCCCCTGCTGGCTGCCGGAGAGGACGCAGGTTTAAGGCGCCCCCTGCTGGCTGCCGGAGAGGACGCAGGTTTAAGGCGCCCCCTGCTGGCTGCCGGAGAGGACGCAGGTTTAAGGCGCCCCCTGCTGGCTGCCGGAGAGGACGCAGGTTTAAGTTGCCACCTGCTGGCTGCCGGAGAGGACGCAGGTTTAAGTTGCCACCTGCTGGCTGCCGGAGAGGACGCAGGTTTAAGTCGCCCCCTGCTGGCTGCCGGAGAGGACGCAGGTTTAAGTCGCCCCCTGCTGGCTGCCGGAGAGGACGCAGGTTTAAGTCGCCCCCTGCTGGCTGCCGGAGAGGACGCAGGTTTAAGTCGCCCCCTGCTGGCTGCTGGAGAGGACGCAGGTTTAAGTCGCCCCCTGCTGGCTGCTAGAGAGGACGCAGGTTTAAGTCGCCCCCTGCTGGCTGCTAGAGAGGACGCAGGTTTAAGTCGCCCCCTGCTGGCTGCTGGAGAGGACGCAGGTTTAAGTCGCCCCCTGCTGGCTGCTGGAGAGGACGCAGGTTTAAGTCGCCCCCTGCTGGCTGCTGGAGAGGACGCAGGTTTAAGTCGCCCCCTGCTGGCTGCTGGAGAGGACGCAGGTTTAAGTCGCCCCCTGCTGGCTGCTATTGAGGATGCAGGTTTAAGTCGCCCCCTGCTGGCTGCTATTGAGGATGCAGGTTTAAGTTGTGTCAACATCACCAAGAGGTCCATTTAGTATCTGTTCTGGAGTTTTTGATCTCGTCACACACATTCAGTTTGAAAGCAGCATGGACGACTGAGGTCACTGATCATGTGATACAGCTCAAAAGCTCCGGCCACTGAGGAGACAAGGCCCGTATGGTGAAGTCAGTTTAGTCAACCTGATAAGAACTGTGCTTTTATGTTGAAAGTACAGAACAGGAAACGGTCGTGTTTGTTGGTTTTAACTTGACGGGGGGGAACTGGTTTGAATTTTTTTCTTTCAGAGGGAAATTTAGAAGAAAGTCAGAGTTCAGCAGAGAGATAAACGGCCAGACTGCCGGGTGGTTACAGAGCAGGTAGTTGGTTAGTTAGGTAGGTAGAGATCTCTGAGTGATGGAAGCGCCTCTGACCAGCAGGAAGAGGTGAGACTGAATCTGAACTTTAATTGATCTGAACTTTGGGCTGAATAAGAGTCTGCGGGACAAAGTGAATTTAAAAACACTTGTTAGTTTGAGTTTAATGTTTAACTCGGAGAAAGAAACTTGTGAGCGTCTCCAGAGTTAACGTCTGAAGGAGTTATTAAGGAGTTTCCTGCTCTCTCTATTTGAGTCAAACTCAGAGTTTCATTAGTGAAGTCATATTTTATTCTGATTTATCTGATCTGATACTTCCTACTGTGTTTTCATGGATGAACAGTTTGTTCGTCCTGCTCAACATGCAGCTGTTCGACAGAAACCTGAACCAGGAGGAGGAATGTGACGAGTTAATCTGTTAATCCTCCTCGTTAGCTTCAATCAGCGTGACGAGCTGCAGCTTCACATCAGCTGCTTCTCCTCTTCCTGATCAGGTTCTGAGTGAAGCCCAGATGAGAGCTGGCTGAGTCCTCTAACAGCTGAGGTGTTTCCTCTCTTTCCTCCCTCAGCATAGGGACCATCTTTACCAAAGGAACACCGTCCCACAATTCACTGGGGCAGCAACATGACGCCGGGGGTCACTTTAAATGTTGAACGTGGGCCGACACGTCCTCCTTGAGAAGGTCATCCTCACCTGTCTGTTTCTAAAAGACTGGATAGCTGTAGCTAACCTCAGTGGCCTTGCACCGTTTCATGGAGGCAGCATGAAATGATAGAAACTAACTACAAGAGCGTTTAACGTGTGTTTGTCTTCAGTAAAGAGTCGGGATGAGAAAGGAGAAGAGCTGTTGAAATAAAACAAATAAAATGGATCCCTTCCACCGATCGCCTCCTAATCTGGTTTATAGTTTAACTCAAAGTGTTGAGGACATAAAACTTTCCTCAGTATAAGAATGTACAAATATAAGAAAATGTTTTTGTGCAAAAGTGAGGAAACAGTTAGCGGGAGGCTAAAATTTAGCGGAAGTTAGCAGGAGGCACACAGTTAGCAGGAGGCTCATAGTTAGCGGGAGGCTAACAGTTAGCGGAAGTTAGCAGGAGGCTCACAGTTAGCAGGAGGCTCACAGTTAGCGGAAGTTAGCAGGAGGCTCACAGTTAGCGGGAGGCTCACAGTTAGCAGGAGGCTAACAGTTAGCGGGAGGTTAACAGTTAGCGGAAGTTAGCAGGAAACTCACAGTTAGCGGGAGGCTAACAGTTGGAGGCTCACAGTTAGCGTGAGGCTCACAGTTAGCGGGAGTTAGCAGGAAGGTCACAGTTAGTGGGAGGCTAACAGTTAGCGGGAGTTAGCAGAAAGGTCACAGTTAGCGGGAGGCTAACAGTTAGTGGGAGTCAGCAAGAGGCTCAGAGTTAGCAAGAGTTAGCGGGAGGCTAACGGCTAACATGTTGTTTCTGTCTCCCCCTGGTGGTCACATGAACACCTGCTGCTCTGACAGACGCCAGGAGGCCCAGCATCAGCATCCAGCCTGCAAGAGGAGGTGCAGAGAGGAGGAGGAGGAGGAGATGAAGGGGAGGAGGAGAACAGCAGGAGGCTGTGAGGAGAACAGGGATCCAAGAGAAGCTCTTTGGAGGAGAACACCGAACCTGAAGAGAGAGCACAGACGGTGAGAACCGGTCCGGTTTCACGTGGCTCAGATACAGGAGACAGTCAGACTTGATCTAAAGACCACAAAGCACTGCAGACCCTGACTCTCTGAAGTAGCACTACACTGCAATGAATTCTGGGTAAAATAAGACAATTTTTAAAACAAAAAAATGGTTTTGAGTAGGTGCATACAACCGCTCAGTGCAGTTTACCCCAGCGAAAAAAAATGTGTTTGTTGGAGCTGTAAAATGGTTATTAGGACATTTTACAGTTAGCAGAGAGTTTGGCAACAAAAAGAAACGCTTTGGAAAAAACCTGCGATGATAGTAACCAGCATTAACCCGACCGCTGAGCGGAGCGTCAGAGATACTCAAAAAGATCCAAGAACATGGCGCCAAAACAAAAATATTTAAGAGGAAACATCCTGAAACGGGAAGAGGCAGGACTGGTCCATCTGTCAGACTGCCTGGGGTCAGGTGTCTCATGTTTACGTCTAAACCTAGTCTTTATTTTTGTAAAACAGTCCAACTTACATCAGACCAGTCTGAACTAATTTTAGACTAGTCCAGCACAACAGAAACTGGCCCCTGATCCCTGATCAGGAACCAACATTCAGACTCTGAGCTTCAGATGTTGTTTCTGCAGGTTTTCACAGTCTGGAACCAGAACCAGGACCTCAGTCAGGACTGGATCTGAGTCTGCAGCTGGATCTGGATTCAGGTCTGGAAGTGAGATCCAGTCCTGCAGACCGCAGGTCAGAGTGGCCCAGATTAGTAAGACCAGGATCCAGACTTCAGTCCAGACTGTAGATCTCAGAGGGTCTGAACTGGTTCAGGGTTTGGTCCTCACAGATCGGACTGATCCAGGATCCACTGAGAGCAATCTGGACTACAGGAGACTGACCCGGATCAGACAGAAAAGGGCCACAGAGTCCACCTTCGAGGTCAGTTAGAAATACACTCTGACAGGGTCTCTGTTTGATTCTGGTCCTGAACTTCCTACTGATCGATCTGTCTGCTCTGATCCAGATCAGGTCCAGAGCAGGTCCTGTGAGCACTGCAGATCTGGTCTCAGATCAATCCTTAGAGACCAAGACCCGCCAAATCAGGTGTGAGAGATTCCTGGGTGCAGAGTCCAGCAGAGGAGAGGAGGAGGGAGCCAGGATCGGGTCCAGGTCTGAGAGGAGGCCAACTGGGCCCAGGAGGAGGAGGAAGATCCACCCGTCTGTGTTCAGAGGGAGAGGTGCCGTCAATCAATCAATCAATCAGTAACTGAGCTTTCATCAGACCAGGTCATAATAATAAGTCTCTCTCTCTCTCTATAGGTCAGCTACGGCTATCAGTCATTCCGGAGGCGGGGCAGCTTGTCATTCAGAGTGAGTGTTTAAATATTTTCCCTTTTTAAAACCTGGTTCATCTCATGTGAACCAGTGAGTTCCAGCTGGTGGTCTGCAGTCTGCTGTGAGAGAGAGGGAGCTGCAGCTCCAGCTGGTGGTCTGCAGTCTGCTGTGGGAGAGAGGAGGCTGACCCTGGAACACCAACAGCCAGGGACCGTTAGAGAACCTGTGGCTCGGTCTCAGGTGGGAACACCTGGCAGGTACAGGCTCTCTGTCCCACAGGGCTGCTGGTGATCTGGGTCTGAATGAACCAGAGGACAATTGGAAGTCACAGAAAATGTCTTTGTTTCCTGTCTCTGTCTGCAGTCCACGAAGCCAGAGGGCTGATGGGAAAATCCCAAAGGTCATGTGACTCATATGTGGAGGTAAAGAAAGCTTCAGGTGTTCCAGCAGTTTATTGATCAGAGATTTAAACTGATCAGCAGATAAAATCTGGAATCTGTTTTTATTTCTGTGTGTAGCTGGCAGTGACCTCGGACCTCGACCGCGGCATCAGGATGACGACTCCGACCGTCCTGAACAACAAGAACCCAGAATACAAACACAGCTTTACACTGTGAGACACACACACTCTTTAGTTTGGCCGTCTGTACTCTGAACAAAATTATAAACGCAGCACTTTTGTTTTTGCCCCCCCATTCATCCTGAGCTGAACTCAAAGATCTAAGACCTTCTCTATGTACACAAAAAGGCCTATTTCTCACAAATAGTGTTCACTAATCTGTCAAAATCTGTGTTAGTGAGCACTTCTCCTTTGCCCAGATAATCCATCCACCTCACAGTTGTGGCATATCAAGATGCTGATCTGACAGCATGGGTACTGCACAGGTGTGCCTTAGGCTGGCCACAACAAAAGGCCTTAGGCTGGCCACATCAAAAGGCCTTAGGCTGGCCACAATAAAAGGCCACTTTTATTGCCCAATGAAAAAACTCACTATGAATCAAAATTTGTCAACGTTATAAATACTTTGGGCATGTTTGTATTTGTGTGTGTGTCTGCATGCATGTACAGTATAATATATATATGTATAATATGTGTGTATGCAGTACAAATATAAGTCTCTGAGCTCGAGTCTGAGTCAAGTCTCAAGTCACTCGTGATTATAATGAATGTTGCATCACCTGCTGCGTCCAATCCAGGCTGCTAATAAAACTGCAGAGCTGTAAGGGATTCTGTATCTGTGACCTGTTTTTCTTACAGAGCACAACCATGTGATGTGCAATGCAACTAATGACAGCTTATAAACTACTGTAAGTCAACACCAACCGCAGACTCTCAAACCCAGTGTAACTTTAACTAAATAAAACTGTAACTTTACATGATCAACAATAAATCTGTAACCTGTTTGCAGCCACAGTTAATAATTACCGTGAAGGCAGCCAGCAGGACGTAAAGGATTACGTTAATCGAGCACCACAAGTTTTCACAAACGCTCATTCATCTTTTCATAACGAACGACAGTCGGAGTTAAACTCTCGTAGGTCATAGCTAAAGCAAGCTAACGTTAGATGGTTAAAGCTGAGCTAAACATGTTCACTAACCTCAGGTTACTAACCTATTTTGCGTTCAACGCTTCTTTGTTTGGGTCTTGTTTATGTTTAAAGTTTATGATGAACGGCTCAGCAGCTGTTTGTTGTCCTCTCTCACGTGTAGCAGCTGATGCTACGTGTTACGTAGGCAGGTTACAGGTAACGCAGGGAGGGAATAACGGCACGCTCATCAGAACCTTCCTAAAAATAAACATTGTTCACGAGTCCCGCACCTCGAGTCTCAAGTCACTGTGTGTGCGACTTAAGTCGGACTCGAGTCCGAGTCTCTAACTCGAGTCCCCGTCTCTGGTGAAAACAAAGCATCATGTTGTTGCAGCTCTGCGCTGAAGATCTTTGACGTTTCAAACATTCAGTTCTACATATTAACTCTGTGTGTGTGTGTTTCAGGTGTATCCTTGACGACCTCATCCTGAACAGGCTGTTGGTTTCTGTGGTCAGCAGGTCAGTAATGACATCAGAGCTGAAGCCCCGCCCACTCTCTTCCTCACTCTTAGCAGCTGGTCCAGGATCAACCTGTTCTCAGTCCCGAGTCATCACACACATGCACGCTTGGTCGAGACCCGTCAGTTTGTAACGCTCTGGGGGAAACCCTGTAGGGTCTTCTCACTAAAGGAAGAGTGAGGACGAGGACCAGAAGCTGGACCTTCAACCAGGAGACCGCCGCTAGTTTCCCGTCTCACATTTAATGTTTAAGTTATGTAACTTTAGTAATTAAGTATTTTAACCCAAACCAGGGGCAGCACGGTAGCCTAGTGGTTAGCACTGTTGCCTCACAGCAAGAAGGTCCCAACTTCGAACTCCGGTCATCCCGTCTGTGTTGAGTTTGCATGTGCCTGGGTTCTTTCCTCCCACCGACTGGTGACCCTAAATTGTCCTTAGTAGTTGTTTTGTTTCTATGTGTGGCCCTGCGATGGACTGATGACCTGCCCCCGCCTTCCGTCAGTTCATCAGTGCGTCCTCGTTAACCCGAGGAACCTGACACCTGACATCTCTAACACACCTGTCCACCTGCTCCCTCTGTCTCCCCAGGTGCGGCCAGCTGATTGGATGCATGAGCTTTGGGATTGGTTCTCTTGTCTCTTCCTCTAAGGTCAGTTTAAACCAATCAAAAGACAGAGAATCCTTCATGGTGACTGGCTGCAGGGAGCGGCCTTTTTTCATGTTTTACCTGTGTTTCACCTGACAGGTGAGTCCCAGCAAAGCCCGTCCACACTTCAGGCTTCCAGCTTCCTGTCGGTGGTGACGGGCGCTGATTGATCCATTAGTTGATTAAAAGAAAAGAAACTCACTTTGGGCTTTTGGCTCGAGTTTTCTGATATTTTATCATTTACTTGAATTTATTTATTTATTTGAAGTGATGAAGTGATTAATCAGATGAGTTAGTTTCGGCCATAGTTCCAGGAGATGAATCCACCTGCAGAGCTTCATGTGGAGCGTCTCACTGCAGAGAAGTCTTTTCTTTTGAGCGTCGATCAGCATCTTTGTAATTATCTTCAAAACACCAACAAGAATCAGAGACAACATGAAGCCTTTCTCTGACGCGGCGTCGACATGTGACAGTCTGTAGGAAAAGAAAAGAGAGCCTCTCAGCGGCTCAGGCTGAGCGCAGGGAACCAGCTTCATGCACATGTTTAATCCCACTCTGAGCTTTAATGAGATGCTGGCCCCGCCCCCTCTGTGTCGGCAGCGTGTGACTGGTTGGTTCTACCTGCTGGGGGAGGAGTTTGGGAGGAGCAAACACCTGAGAGTGACATCACAGCAGAGCAAACCAATAAGGAAGCCAGAGGACGCACCAGCACGCCGTGGTGAGTTGAAACTGTCTGATGCTGCTGCAGCGTGATTGGCTGAAATGAAGAATGTGACCCTGCTGATAGCTGATTGGTTAACTCAGAGTTAACAGCTGATAACGAGGGGCAGGGTCAGTTAGAACTACACAAACAAACTAGGGCAGTGGCGGTTTGCTATCATCTCTACAGGAACATGTTCAGGGTAAAACGAGCAGGTCACAGTTCTGCAGGGAGGCCGGAACCAGCAGGACCTCAGGTCTTCAGTCCTGACCGGCTGCAGGGAGTCCCAGGTCTTTAACCTCTGTAGGGTCGTCAGGGTGACGCAAACCACCTGCTGCGTCTTGGACGAGCCATCAAATTCAAAATGGCCTCCCTCACTGTTACACAGAGACAGACACACACACACAGAGACACAGAGAGAGACACAGAGAGACACACACACAGAGACACACACAGAGACAAAGAGAGACACAGAGACACACACACAGAGACAAAGAGAGACACAGAGAGACACACACAGAGACACACACAGGCACAGAGAGACACACAGAGACAAAGAGAGACACACACAGAGACAAAGAGACACAGAGAGACACACACAGAGACAAAGAGACACAGAGAGACACACACACACAGAGACACAGAGAGACACACACACAGAGAGACACAGAAAGACACAGAGACACACACACAGAGAGACAGAGAGACACACACAGGCACACAGAGACACAGAGAAACACAGAGAGACACAGAGACACACAGAAACAAAAAGATACACTAACACAGACACACACACAGAGACAGAGAGACACAGAGAGACACACACACAGAGACCCACTGAGACACACACTGAGACACACACAGAGAGACACACACACACACAGAGACACAGAGAGACACACAGACACACAGAGAGACACACAGAGACACACAGACACACAGAGAGACACACAGAAACACAAAGAGAGACACAAACACAGACACAAACACAGAGACAAAGAAAGACATAGAGAGAAACACAAACACAGAGACAAAGAGAGACACAGAGAGACACACAGAGACACACACAGGCACAGAGACACGCGGAGACACACAGAGAAACACACACAGACACACACACACAGAGACACAGAGAGACACACACACACAGAGACACAGAGAGATACACACAGAAACACACACAGGCACAGAGAGAGACACACGGAGACACACAGAGAGACACAGAGACACACACAGAGAGACACAGAGACACACACAGACACAGAGACACACACACACAGAGACACAGAGACACACACACACAGAGACACAGAGAGACACACACACAGAGACACAGAGAGACACACACACACAGAGACACACACAGAGACACACACAGGCACAGAGACACAAGGAGACACACAACACAGACACACACACAGGCACAGACACACACCACACAGAGACACACACACAGAGACAAAGAGAGACATAGAGAGAAACACACACAGACACACATAGGCACAGAGAGACACGCGGAGACACACAGAGAAACACACACAGACACACAGAGAGAGACACACAGAGAGACACACACAGAGACACAGAGAGACACAGAGAGACACAGAGAGACACACACACAGAGACACACACAGAGACCCACACAGAGAGACACACAGAGACCCACACAGAGAGACACACAGAGACACACACAGAGACACACGGAGACACACAGAGACACAGAGAGACACACAGAGACACGGAGACACAGAGACACACGGAGACACAGATACACACACACACACACACACACACACACACAGAGACACACACAGAGACACAGAGACACACACACAGAGACACAGAGAAACAAAGAGATACACAAACACAGACACACACACAGAGAGAAAGAGAGACACACACAGAGAAACACAGAGAGACACACCAGAGACACACACAGAGAAACACAGAGACACACACAGAGACACCAGAGAGACACAGAGACACACACAGAGACACACAGAGAGACACAGAGAGACACACACACAGAGACACACGAGAGACACACGAGACACACACACACACAGACACACACACACAGAGAAACAGAGAGACACACACACACAGAGACACAGAGAGACACACAGAGAAACACCACGAGACACAGAGACACACACAGAGAACACACACAGAGACACACACACACAGACAAAGAGAGACACACAGAGACACAGAGACCCACACAGAGAGACACACAGACACACAGAGACACACACAGGCACAGAGAGATACACGGACACACACAGACACACACAGAGACACACAGAGAGACACACAGAGACACACAGACACACACAGAGACACAGAGACA